TCAGCCTCTAGTGAGCACTGATTAAATCATAAACTACCTCGTCTTTATGTCAACTTCAAGTTATTCATTGCCTAAATCAGTGACTTCAAAATATATGTTTCAATCCTAAGAATTTAACTCGCTGTTAATTGCATGGGAGTGCCAGTCTTTCATGAATTTCTATTGTCATGTCAATTTCTTGCGATTACTGGGAACATGAAGCTGTAACTAAATCCTGGTATAAGCACCGGTTAGGCAGGCTTGAACTATGCATGTGAAGCCACCTGAGAGGTATATTCAATCCAATAGATTTCTCATTGTTTGGTAACTATTTGCTGCAAATGCAGCAAAAATCAATATAAAAATATTACCCACACAGCATTCTACAAGTTACTTGTTTATATTGATTTTTATACATTTTATTTTATAATTAATTGATCAGAGAGACTCTGCCATTAGATATTGATCGCAATGGGACAACATTATCTATGTATCAATATAGAAGTTTGTTTAATAGTAGCCGAGTTCCTGGTGTGCAAAAAGACACTTTTGTACAGTGGTTTAAAACTGGTAAGTAGTTGATTACCGTAATTGAATATATATCTTTCTATCACGTGATTTTTCAATAGTGTCCATTTCGAAAATATGGGTGTGTTGCATTACTGCGACTGGCTAAAATCATTCTGCCAATTTTAAAGGGCGGCAGTCGTCACGCCGCGTTCTATTCGATATGGGACTCATAGCGACGTATACAACGCGTGTAAAATACATTGTTTATTTACATTTACGACCACCGCGCTTTAATATTGTATGCTATCTTCAAGCGAGAGGTTGGACAGTTCAGACAAAATCAGTTTAGGGGCGGACCATTTGATATTCCCCTATCTGATATGGAATTTTTTTTAGCAGACCTTGTCTCTAATTCTTACATGCATACCGTGTAGGATTTTTTTCACAAAATCTTCCTAGCCCCCCAGGATATCAAATGGTCCGCCCCTTATATTGTTATACAATTTTACTATGATGTGTATTTTGGTGAGCAAAATTACAGTTCAATTGACTTCAGGTGTTTGATGATCATAACACATTACAGTCAAAACATCAATTATGACATTATGCGATAAATACAATTTAAAACAAAGATCCTTGGGCCAATGAGTTGATAACAACAACCGTGCCAGAAAAATTTCTACATCAACTCACAACAGAACAATTGCACGGTTTTTATTATACACAGTATTAACGTGAATACATATCACACCTTTGACCTTTGACATAATTGTTCTTTCACTTTCACAAATGAGGTCCTGTCACAATTTCACGTCACAATATACACATTTGTTTTTGTTTTTTTCTGGTACATGTTTTGGAAATAACTTTTATAAACAGTTTTACATTCTATATTTTCCAGCGAAAGAAGGTAACTGCCCGAGTCATCTTATCGTCATGAGAAAGGGTCGCTTTTATAAATTCAATGCCACTGACGATGACGGGAAAATACTGTCTGCACCAGCACTCAAGAGGTATTAGTATTTAAATTCGCACAGTAGGAGTTTATTTTCTAATTTGAATTATAGCTCGACTAAGACAACTGATTGAATTCCTGATTCTTTCAGACAAATAGAGTATGTCAAAACTGAAAGCGACAATCAACCTACTATACTAAGCGTGGGAATGTTGACAGCACTAGACAGAATACCGTGGGCACAGGTAAATCGACATTATACTATATCGCAAAAAGATATACACTGTTTGTAATATATTTCACAGTGTGCTGTGTTGTGTTGTAAAAAAATAAACATCATACCAAGTTACAAGACTGTTTTATTTTTAAGGCGAGGTCACATTTACAATCCCTGGATCCACGGAATAAAAAGTTCTTAGATGAAATCGAGTCGAGTTTGCTAATACTAAGGCTTGAAGACAAAGCTTCGGAAACACTACAATCGGTATGGTATTATTATCACCTGGCTACGGCCTCTCTGTCATTCACTAATATTGTGATGTGATGTGTTACGGCAAACGTCACAATATTTATGCTCGATATATTTGTATACGTTTATATCTCTAACAACAAACAACTTCCGAACACTTGGGGATTTGATTGATCTAAAATGCGACATAACTGTTTATAGAACCGATTTATTACGGAAAAAGTAATAGATTTTCTGGAACCTATGACTTTTCAAAATTTACTTGACTATTTTTGCCTTGTTCCAGATTGCCAGAGAATCTTTATGTGGTATTGGCCATGGTCGATGGTTTGATAAAGGGTACACACTTATCAGCTTTAAGAATGGGACCTTTGGATTAAACATAGATGTAAGTATGGGTATATTTGTATGACAGCACTCTCAGTAAATATTTTTTTCACGTGCAGGAAATATAACGTCAAACAAACAAGTGAACACTGAAATGAATTGTGCTAGAACAGCAGGTGTGTATTACCATTCTCACGAAACAGTTACAATGCACCACCGGCAAACGCTATAAATGCATGGAGTCTCACTTGATAAAGGTCAATATATTTTTAGACGACTGCTACGACGTGCATACGTCCAGGCATCCCTTTCTTGAATATACGGCAGTAGTGATCTCCAACATACTCTCGGATTGAATTTTGATGGGTGGGCAGACATTCGTTGATATCGGGCAAATAAGCCACAGACAGCTGGAGTACAAGTAATAATAACATATATGCGACGTAGTTACCCGGTTAGTATAGATCACTTTGCATATTCATGAATCATGAATATTCATGAATATAATTTGCATATATTACCATGTAATTTGAATGATTATATAAATATGAATATATAATTAATTATGATATCATTTTAATATTAATTTGTGCGTAATGGTACAATTTATGCATATACTATAAAACTATTAATATCTATATAATTAGGATTGCATATTTCAATAGTGAGTTATGTATAATATTATATGAATATATAATACATCTCAAAGCGTCCCCGCGTGATATATGACCATGAGTACTTGTACATTTCCGAAAACCTTACTTCTTTTACATTATTACGCATTATTTCTGATTCGTAATTGTTCATAACTATTAAAGGTATCAATATATTATAATATATGTAATTACGTTATAAATCTAACCAGTCTCCATTATTTTTCTCCTGTTTTGTAAAATGTCCATATACATAATTCAAGTTGTTTTTTAGGACAGTAAAGGTCTTACATGTCTGGAAAATAAACAAACTACTAACAAACATATAGTCATATTAATTGATAGGTTTGAATTATAGAATCGATTATTGTCAAGAGACTTTTAAAACGTTTGTACATTTTATTTTAAATTCTTACAAATAAACTATATATTATATTAGCAGTGCATTGCATGGACTAATCTGCACACGTTTTATGTTGTCTTTCTATAGTATATAAGCTTAATTGGAAAAACATAAAATCATTTTCAGACATATATATGGAATATTATGGTCCGAAATCGTCATATCATAGCTCAATATAGATACATTAGTAATGATGATGTCTAATGTAACTCAATAGACCAGATATGCCATGACTGGTTTATTAATTGTTTTTGTTTTTATGTAATTTAGATATTATGATTATATTATGGTATTTGATATTGTTCTACATTTAATTATTAGCACGTCCAAGTGGATGCAATATGTCCTGTGAATCATTGGATACATGTGAATTCCAAAATTATCGCCCAAGATGGCATTTGGAAGGTATGGTGTAGTATTTTATATATATATACATTAATGATGTAGTAGAGTTTTTTTCTTTGAACATATAATTTTTTTTCACATTCTCTTATAAGAATATATAAAGTATGCATTCAACTAGAAAAAACAATTGTAGCGATGGTTTAAGAGGGTAATACATTTTGAGTAAATCTGAGATACAGTGTATTTTATGTTTTTTGTGATTGTTCACGCATGGGGAAACATCGGTATTTGGGGTTAGTCTAGAGAGTTGATCTAGACTCCCAGCTGCTCCAAGACGGTGATTTTTGGCATAGGTATTCTTTCATAGCTGCTAATGAAATTTGGCAAAGATAGTCTGTCTACCTTTTTGACTTTAGAAAATACGACACAACTCCTCCCTTTGTGAACTCTGACACGTGGTATCATATTTCAAAACGACCGTTTACGACGTTTTTAACAATTTGATGGGATTCAAATAATATGTTACTTCAGAAATGTGCTATGCAATAACCTCTACTACATCCTTAATAACACTGACAAAAGGCCGATTATTTAGAGATAATTTCTAATTTCTAATAATTTTCGAAAACGACATATTGAGAAACAAATATAGTATTAGATGAATTGTATTAATAACTTAAGAATTTAAAATGTGTTTATGATTCAAGTATTTAGAATGTTAACTGTCTATTTTTTGCATGATGGCACTGACTGTTTTTTGTTTGTAGTTATGTTTTGCACGCTATGCTTTTCTTAATTTTCTCTGGTCACAATTTTAGCCCCACAGAATAAACAGAACCTAAATTTATATTTGTCGTAAAAATTGTGTTTTGTTCTGCATTTCGTAGTAATTCCTGAATCAGTTTACACTGAATGACGAAAAAAATATTATAGTCAAAATTAGGAGTACGTGTTCACAAGTATGTGCCAACCATAGCAGGAAACAGCTTCAGCGTTTTTTTTTTAGATGGACATAGAAAACGTAATCTATAATATATCCGGACGTGTCTCAACCTTTAATTTATAATTAATATGTTTGTAAAATACTGTATGCATAATTTATATTTATTTGCTATCATATTAAGCAGGGCTCAACCGATGTGAGAAAATTGTCAAATCCACAAGAGTTAAAGTTTATCGTGGATGATCATATAACAAACGCTATACGTAAGGCTGTTGAACAATCCAGGAAGGAGGTGAATGTTAGATATTTATATTAATTCGATTATTCATTGTCCGATTTAGTTTGTTTTCTTGTGAATATACCTAAATTAACACAGTAGTCGCGTTTAAATGATTCACTAAAATTAGTTTTTGTTTGTTTGTTTGTTTGTTTTTTCAAGTCGAAAAATATTGAAACGTCTATCAACAAAATGAACTTCGATCGAGAATTGCTGAGATGCAAGAAAGTTCACCCAGATGCCTTTTTGCAATTGGCAATACAATATACTTACTACAAGATGTACAGAAGGTAATGAAAGTAATTCAAACTCAACCCAAATATTTCTCGTATTTTGCTGCCCATGATTATCTAATTACAAATGTTCACGAATGATTTCTCATTTAGATCATGTACGAATAATAATACTACTCCCATGGTGGCATTGGCAGAAAAAAAAACTTTGTTATAACATTGCACCCACTCGGTTCTATTACTTAATTAATCAGTGGTTGTCATAATAAAATGTTGTTAGGACAGTCAGACTTTAAGACAACCAACTGTCGAGACAATCAGATGTCAAAACAACCTTATACCATAATATTCAAAATAACTACACAACAGAAATGGAAAATAAAGGCCAACTAACTTAATAATTATTATTAACAGCATACTATTTAAACAACGAACACGTGACTGAATATTGACGACATATTAATGACATTATTTCAGTATTTTGACATTATGTCATTATTATGTCGTCATACTAAGACATACTAATACCGACATAACGTCGTACTAAAGACTTAAAGGTAATTGTGTCAGGTGTTAGACTGTGTCTTCTTTCTCAATTATTTATTTATTTTAATTAATTTATTCATTTATTTTGATGCCTATGTATGGGTCTGTCGTTTAATTGATTCATTAATTCATTGATTGATTGGCGTGTAACCCTACAAGAAATTTTGGGATTTTTTGTGTGTGGAAAATTGTTTATTTATTTATTTACCGTACAGACCTGCCCCAACAAATGAGGCAGCTACAACCCGCCAGTTTTACCATGGCAGAACGGAAACAGTGAGGGCATGTACTGTGGAGGCAATACAATGGTGTCAGTATATGACGGGTGAAAACATTGAAGTAAGTCGAGCAATATATAATATTCTTGGCAATCTGAGAAAAAAAGTGTACATGAGTCTTCATAGGAATAGTCACCTTTTAAATTAAGACAATTAAACTTTCAAATTAAACGTGCATGCATGAACGTGTAATATTCCTGGTAAAATATAGAGCTTTTAATATTGTAAGAATGAGCGTGTGCAGTTGTAGTCTTTCGCATAGCGCCCTGTTCGCCGTGTGTCCCATATGACGTATACAATGCGTGTAAAATACATGGTTTGTTTCCATAACTTCGATTGCGCGTTGCGTGGCGACTTTAAATAATGTTTTTTTTTTTAGCGGAGCTGTTCATATTACTGACTGTCCGTCGTCGTCCGTCGTCGTCAACTTTACAATTTCAACTTCTACTTCGAACGCGCAAGTCAGAATGTTTTCAAATTTGATATGCAAGTGCCTTGGATGGTTCTTTCTCAGTTTTGATCATTTCATGTCAAAATCTCGAATTCTCTATTTTTGGTGAATATGTTTGTAATTTTTGGTAAAAAGTGATATTTTCGACGGCAAGTCCGATTGATTTGATATTACATATATAGGTACTACATGTGGACCTTTCTCAGATTTGTTCATGTCGTGATGATATCTTTAATTCTATATTTTCGACCTTGTTCTGTTTTCCAGCCATCGAAAACTTTAAACTTGTTTCTTACGGCGATTAATAAGCATGTGCAGTTGATGGGTGAATGTAAACGCAACGAGGGCTGTCATCGGCATCTCTATGGATTAGAAATGATTGCAGCAGAGAATGGAATACCGCTTCCAGAATTATATAAAGATCCTTCCTACATGAAAAGGTAAAACTTGTATTGATTGTTATGAGGTGAATTTATCCGGTTTATATAATAATTACGTGTGAAATGAAGTGATCATAAAATTGAATGAACAGCAAGCATGGTACAGTGGCATGTCCGATCGAAAGACGTTATAGGAAATAGGAAATTATTCACCAGAACTGTAACGGAATGTTGTTTATAATACAAATATTTTATATATATTATTTAATATGTCGCGTAATATTCCCTAAATTCCAGTTAAGCATTATGAATTATATTAGGTATAGAATAGGGTCAAACGGTTCGGACGGATATTGCCCCTGAATTTTCAGTGATAACCACATTTTGGATAAACGTGTTGACAGTCGACTGTGTGTTATTGGGGAAAGACCTAATATATATTAATCATCTAGTCCAGATGTGCTATAATGTGAAATTATATCTTTTTGACAGTGGTGGAAATGAAAGTTACATTCTGGTAACTTCTTCGTCGGGATACTCACCTGTGTTAGCTTTCATACCACCAATGTGCGAAAACGGATATGGTGTTTTCTACTCTTTCCCCAAGAACGCGTAAGTTCAATGTGTAATATTAATTGTAGTCTAGTTCGATGTTTACAGGTATTGAGTATTTTGTGTTTGACACGAGGGGAAATGAAGATTAACAGTCCCTCGAACAAGGATAACATTTGTAATTCAAATCCCTAGAAAATACATTCAGAAAGGTCATACTTATTTTATAATTTCAGATATTGAAGATGTTTCTAAAACTATCAGTATTTTTTATAGGCTAATATTATTTGTGTCGTCCTGGAAGAAAGACAAGGCAACCGACTGTGTAGTTTACAGAAAGAATTTAGAAAAAACTATTAATGAAATGTTGGCGATGCTCACCAATTCCAACCTTTAAATGATGCTGTCCGATGTATGAAAGTCACAAGTGGGAAAGTTAAACTGTGATTAATGGACAACTTATATCAACTTAGATTTCACTGGACCTACCAAAGATTTGGACATCATCAACACGTGCATGATTGTTTGTGCTAGTTAGAATGAACGAAAAAGTAACACGCCAACAAATAGATAAAAAATAATAAATAATATTAGATAGAATTAGTATAATTATATAGAAAAACAATGTATTTTATGAGATAGCTATTGTTGGTTATTGTTTGGACGCCTTATAAGAATAGTTGTGTAATCAACTTACTAAATGGTCTATCATATTAGTGTATCCTGATACCATTGTATAGATATGTTATCTTGCATACGGTTACTAGTGTTATATAAATTGATCGAAATTGTAACATTTGCATATGGAAACTATAGATGCTAACCGTACACGCATAAATGTACACGGTGTGCATGAGTCGAACATATTCTTTCAATCTAAATTGTATTAATCAGTTGTAATAAAAGGTTTTAGTTTTACGCAACGGTTATCTACAACATTATCCAGTGTGTAGTTAAAAAAAAGTATCTGGAGTCAAACCAAAATTATTTTTTCAGGCAAACCAACATTTTTTTTTCAGGATATATCCAGATATATAGCCATTTATAACTATCAGCTAGATCTAACACCGGTTTAATATATATCCATTTACAAAAAAACAAACATCGCAGGTCTGACCCCATAGACGACTGGTTTCCCAACTATACGTTGGATTTAGTTCTTAGCTGATAGTTATAAATGGTTATATATCTGGGTATATCCTGAAAAAATAATTTTGGTCTGTCCGGGGATGACTAGTTTTCTAACTATACACTGGAGTTCGGTCTAGCTGATACTTATAATGAATATATATCTAACTAATGTAGGATCTAGCTGATAGTTATAAATGGTTATATATATATCTGGATGTATTCTGAATTTTTTTCTCTCAGCGGGGATGAATGGTTTTCTAACACTGGACTTAGATCTAGCTGCTTATTATAAATGGATATATATCAAACTGGTGTTAGATCTAGCTGATAGTTATAGATGGCTATATATCTGGATATATTCGGTAAAAATAATCTTGTTCTCACCGGGGATGACTGGTTTTCTAACTATACACTGGACTTCAATCCAGCTGGTAGTTATGAATGGATATATATCTAACTAATGCTAGATCTAGCTGATAGTTAGAAATGGCTATATTCATCCGTGTTAATCTGAAATATCTAATTTAGCTCCCATTGGTAATACATAGACATTAGCTGGTATACTAGTGAAAAAGCGCAATTCCGCACCTACCTCTGAATTCATTAAAACAGCAATATGTGCTATTTTTTAAATCGCACCAAGGCTAAACTTAGAGGGCGCTGTGCAACCAAATGGTACAAATATCAGTTGTCTTTTCATTTCGATTGGAGTACGTGTACGTGGAGTACGAGTACTGTACACTGAACATTTTGACACGTTCTATCAAAGCCGAGCATTGTGTCTCGCACTTTTTCTGTAGATTTGTTAAATATTCACATGCTCTCGTTGGCATAATTGAGACACAATTATTGGGAAACGCGTCATTCGGCTGCGTCAATCGCTCTATAACTCACTGGGTATGCCACCCCCCCCCCCCCGGTATGGCTTTTATTTCACTATAATACACGATATATTTCAACTAGAAGTGAGAAGTGGGTAGCTTGTGACGATATCTGTGATTATTTTTTTTAATGAAACCGAAACCAATTATATTACGAAAGTAGTGTGGTGGCGCTTCTATCGGGCGGAGTAACTACCGAGGATAGGAGTATGCATAATCTCTAACTTTGAGTATACGCACTCCAAAAAGCTTAAAATGATGAAATGTTTTGGAAACGTAGATTATGACCAAGATTGACTCCAGTTAGGTTTTTGTGTAAATAAGTTGAAAGCAGGAGCTTCTCGAAATTTGTGAGAAACTTACAAAATGCACACGAAATCGACACTAATTGCGTAATTTTAAGTCGCCTATTTTAAAAGAGGTTGTTACTCAGTTATATTTCAAACAAACAGTAACGAAAACTGAAGCAGATCCAAGTATGAACATTTGGCGGATTTGTAATAAATAAAAGCAATATATCACAGATCTTCGAATGCACAAGACCACGGTGATTACATCGCTATAAAAACTAGACAGCGCAGCTGACGGAAACGGTATGGACCTGGAAATCGAGTGTAAAAACTATCAATCGATCTAATTCTGTGAATTTTATTTTGTTATAATATTCAGTCATTGTATCAGTGAATAATCAAGTAAATAGGAACGCGACATGTGTTCGAGATTCACATTAAAATATGATTTAACTGTCATAGTATAGTTTACATTTCCTTTTAGCTGCGCAGCTGGAGACAGTGGCTCTTTCAGTTTGAAACACTATACATGGTATGCGACTCACGCGCCAAAGGTTATCGATGGGTTTAGTTTAGATTTTGTATATTATTACAGTGATCGTCACAACCCCATAAAACACATAGTTTATCGTATCTGTATCGTTGTGCAAACATTAAAAATAGCAGCGTGTTCAGCGTTTGAATCGTTATCAAAAGTCACCATAAAACGCTGCATTATATGACAACGACGAACAATCGGATGATACCGCTCCGATTTCGTCTGTATGTGCATGTGTAGTTAGCGAACAGTATACTCGTATAACTCGGTAATATGACTCTGGCAATACATGCATATATCTAACAATTAAGTAATTGGTGGTATTATATAACTATATCATCGACGGAGATTTGATTCATGGACGGTGAGAAATGCGGTTTGACCGTGTGACGATCATTGCAAATATGTGCTTGCTATTCAGACAATTTTGTACATCCCGTCTGATATCGAGTTAATTGAGCTGTAACGCGAATAAACATAGTGGCAATACATGGTCATTAGATTATCTACGGTGGCTCATGGTTCATACAGGAAGCATGACACATTTTAGTTTAGTCCCATGCGGGGAGACACTAGCGTGATAATGTGTCGTGTTACGGTTTCCTAACAATTACTCACAGTTGACGACAATGTTAGTCTCTGACGATGTCCATCATGGTAATACTTTGTCATCTCTGTCTTGTAACTTTTCATTTTGTGTCATATCATGTGATTAGGCAGTATCAACGAGGTAGTAACTCAGTAAAACTTTGTGTTTTAGTAGCATTGTCTTTTATGTACAAAGGTTTTTTTTTACCAGGTAGAACATGGATGTTTAATAGTCCATTCATGGACGCACTAACGGGTGTTTACTGTGTCCTTGGTCCATTGTGGATAAAAAGTAAAACAGACTCGGCTCTGTTTGTTTGTGATAGTTTCTCAAACTTTAAACTGAAAGTGAATGTAGCCTACCTTGTGAAAACGGTGCACCTAAATAAAACAAATTGTAGTCACCAGGCACAAGTACGGCAACCGGGATGGTAACACATGTGGGTACAAGATTTGCCAACAGACTGGCCTGTATAATGACTATTTCTAGTAATCTCCCACAATGCCTGTAGATTGGCATCTGGTGAGGTTCTCGCCCTTCATTCAGAATTTACCCAATTTTTGTTACTTACAGGCACTGAAAAAAGCTATGTTTTAACTACTAGAAGAACTTCTTCTAGTAACCGTGGTTTAACTTGTGGCACAAAACGCGCTCAACCCAGCTGTCAGCTCTGGATTTATTCAAATCCTAGACTTAATAGTTTTATTTTATTTTGCGGGAATTACGTAATTATCTCGTTGTTTATAGTCCTCTGTGGTAAATGATAGAATATTTGTTAGATAGAAGCCTATCCTACATCAACTAGACAATAGTGGCCCACGGCATCAATTGTGTGCCCTTGACTGATTTGGCTTACTAGTACATGTGAACAATTCAATGTTTTGCTCTACGCTTGGTATTTATAAGTTGTAATTATATACTTGTTAATTTTGAAACGTGGGTGTAAAGTCATTGGTAAGAGACATATAATCGCGTTTTAATTAGCGCTTTAATTGACTAAACAGGTGTTAATTGCTTCACGCCCTCTTAGTTTAATTAAGTGATAAACATTGAACGCGCCCACGCCCGCAAAAGCCTTCTGGGTAAAATCAAACATGGCGACAAAAAAGTTGTTCCTCTGTGTGGTGGTCACGTCGCTTGTTTGGTTTGTCATGGTTTCCATTTACATGTATCACGCTAACAGAAACGACAGTCACGAATATTTAGGCAGGAGGAACTTTGGTAAATATCGAGACTTGGCCGGAGTTTTAGATGATGGTGAGGGAGTTTCGGCCTGGACAGATCGACATCGCTTCGCCTTTGGGCCAGGTGAAAATGGGCAACCCGTTCTGCTGTACGGAGAACAGAAGAAAGAAGCCGACGAAACTTTTGATGTGCATGGTTTTAATGTTGTTGTCAGTGATATGATATCACTTGAGAGGAGTATTACCGACGTGAAACACTCACTGTAAGTAAATAAGTGAATGATTCCATATATAAAAGTTTCGCGCGTGACCGGCGGCTGACTGAATCGACCGACAGTGAGAACATGCACTAACATTACAGTGGTTTGTTATTGTTTGGTCAGCTGATTATGATAAACATCGTTCGGTTTCAATTCTTCGAGCCATTTAGTATTTTTATTTTTATTTGTTTCGACTTTTCTTGTCAGAAATTTATGAAATTCCAATTAGTGCAACTATTTTTTTACTCTGTTTTAAGTTTGCTATAAATAGTTCAGTTAAGTTGTCAAGAATAAGCCACGATTATTTGTTGAACCGAGAACACATGTCATGGCACAGTCAGTCGTAATTTGACTTTGCCTTGAACACCGCTGTTACGCATGCCAGACCGATTACATGCCATTACACTTCTAAAGGCTGTCCAAAGTTAAACCTGTAATAGTTCATTCATTGATGATGTGTTTTATATGCATGATCACCTCAGTAAACGTCACCATACACTGATTTCACTTTCATTCATTTACTGTACCTGGTATTATTAGCGGCCATTTTCTTCTGCATCGCCTCTCTTTCTCACCTTGATTTCAAGATATCAAAGTTACTATTTTAGGTATTTTCTGCAGTGTTCTCCCCAGAGTATTGAGTGTAAGCTAATTTACATAACAATAGGATATGATAATGACTTATATTGTATTCCTTGTTATGTTAAATTGGTTCTAAATTTTGGATTACCATTTTTTTTTATAATTATGGACCAAATGGATATCATTGTTGTCATATGTAGTTATAAGATGGGCACTTTTGGTTTTTCCCAAATTATTGAAAAAATTTGCCAATTACTATTTTTTACTACAACTTGTTTTCAGACAGTTTTTCTTAAAAAATTACTCACACTGAGTAAAAAGCTTTTATTTAATTATTATCAACTTTTTTTGTCAGTACACAGTTATTTTAATACATCTGCAGGACTATCGTAAAATACTTTATTTTCGCTTGGAATTAATTTTCGCTGAAGAAATGATTCAGTGAAAATAAAATCTAGTGAATATGCTTTTTTCCTATATTTTATATTCAACTCGTCAAAAATCAGTGAAAATAAATTCCATAGAAAAAAAGTTTATTCCAGATAAAATAAGGTATTTTACAGTATAGAATAATACATGCAAAAATCACTGGTCACACTGTAGTCTGTAACAGTTGCTAATAATTGTATCATTCAATTCCCCTCCTTCAATAATGCACATCTGGATCATAGTGTTTTATTTGGCAAGTAAGGGGTCAACCATTTGTAATCATGGAGGGGGGGGGGCTGCAATAGTGTAAGCAGTGCTTTTTTTTCAGTCTTGAGTCTGTACATTTTAACACCTTGCATGCAATTTTTTTTTCTCTCTTTTTTTCCAGCCACCCTTATGATTTCAAGTGTGTCTACAGGATGTGTGTTCCCCAGACATCTTTTGAGTACGATAGTTTCCTACTGGGACAGTATAATGGTGTACATTGTGTTAAAGCCATAATAATAATAATAACATCTTTGTTTATTAGCTATTTGGACTCCTAAAAAATCATAACTATGACTACAATAAGATTAAAAAAGGCCAACACAAAGTCATTAAATTTAAAAAACATGGTCTCTGCAATCCTTTATAAATTTGTAATTTATTTTTCTTTATTACTTTTAGCTCTAATTTATTTTTTAGTAGTGGTAAATTATTCACTGGGTCAGTAAATTGAATGAACGTGAACTTTACAATGGAATGCATAGTTTCTGTCTAATCTGTGAATCTAAATATCAAAAATTTAAAATTAATGATTTTCAGTCTTACTAATTCAAGTCGGAATTGAGGTTGATCAATACAATTTCCTGAACCTGAGTGAGTTTGAAGTGGACGTGCAGGAGTTCTAACATGTTCTATTACCCATGTATTAGCATAAGGCAAAATATGATGTAGCTTCACAAATAGAGTAGGTCTGTACCCCATTATATTTTTAAATATAGTTTAGGACACATTGTTTTAACACCTTAAGATTTGTTTTCAATTGAAGAGGCCATGTATTACGTCTTTCCCATAAAAGCCTATGTATTAACTCCATAGCTCTCATTAGGTGTTATCATGTTTTTCTAAATAATTTGATTCAGGGCTAATCGCAAAATATAAAAAAATGTCACAAAACTGTATTTAGCAATCGTAAAACTCATTGGTATTTTGAATGTGTTAAAGTTCATATATGGATAATTACCCTGACAATAAAATAGATTCTCAAACCAGTAGCAGTAAATTCTGTTTTATTTTTCTAATTACTGTGTTTTAAAAAGTTTATCACTTGAGAAATAGTTATGTATGCTGAGGTTTATTTTTCTGGTTTACCATCTACATGTCTGAGTGGTATTCAAATAGAGATTGTCTTGTTTACAACAATGTTGACCTTTTGATTGAGGGTAATTAATCACAGATTAAATTGCTGGGTGTGATTGACCTATCTCACCCTTACTCATGTCTCAAGGATGTCCCCCTTACATAAAGTTACTTTCCATCAGGTGTAGAGCATTTATCTAAACATGTATCCAGATTTTATTAGACCTACTGGAATTTTTCACTTTAACAACACCAAAGTAATTTTAGTTTCAGTCTGTTTGTTCATCTGTTCTGTCCGTCCATCTGTCTGTCTTTCTGTCCGCCTGTCTGTTTGTTTGTTTGTTTGTCTGTCTGTCTCACAGCCCTATTATGCCATACTTGTCCAACCTAGCACCCATGCTTGACTAAGCTCTCCCAAATGGTGTAGGATTTCTATTTTCTTGTTCACGTTCAACCTAGCACCCATCTCTTCCGAAACACCCTGCTTAGTTGTCAAGTCATGAAACCTGATCACCGTACTGCTTTTCACTTTTATGTATAATCACAGTGTCCATTGTGACTATTGTAAATAATAGTGAATTCAACTTGACCTGTCAAGCTATGAAGGATTTTGAATAATTTATTTTGTCTTTCCTCCACAAAAATTGCGAATCACCAGTTTTAAGAAAAAATCTTGATTTTTTTGATTAAAATCAGTGTCAACATTGGTAGTTCGCTTCCACATTGCATTGAATTGAAATGCCATCATCAGTAATTGAAAATTCATGGAGAATTGCATCAGTACAACAAAGCATTCTTGTTGGGTAAACCATAGACCCTTAAAAATCATACAATTAGTTGTCAAACAAAATCAACCAATTTTTAGGGTCTATGGGTAAACAGACTTGACCTGTCAAATCAGATGATGTTGTTGTACTGCATAATATGTCCCTGAATATACATAACATTTTGACTTAACATTTGCAAATCAGCTTTAGTGGGGTTTGTGATTTAAAATTATGAAAAACACACACACTCAAATAAGCACCACTTCTCATGCAGCATGTTACAACTTCTAATATTTGTTCACTATCAACTCGGTATGTTAACTGCGTGTTTTATCTTTGGCCACAGCATTCTATGCTTTTACCCACACAGTCAGTGCACCAGTCAGGTTTTGTGTGTAAAGCAGGACAAAACAGGCAATATTTGCTGCATCTTGTATGAAATCAACTTTTCATCACATATGGTGCTGTGTTTCATTTGTTAGTATTCCTATTCCTGATTGCTAATTTTAGAAGAAAAAAACAACATATCCTACAACTAGGACCACCTATTCTCACCATATTATATTTAGAAATTCTTTTTTTAGTGACAATTCTGTGGCAAATGTTATAATTGTTCAATTTTATTTTTTTCATTTCTTAAAAATAGAATGTGAGAAATTTAAATATGAAAGTTGAAGACCACACATCATATGTTATGTCTGTTTTTATGATTATTAATTAAGGTACATATTGTATAATTATTATAATATAGTATAATTATTTTTTGTTTCTTTGTCAGGTGTGACACTGTTCGGTACAATAAAGATTTACCCACTGCAAGTGTAATTATATCATTCCACAATGAAGCCTGGTCCACTCTTTTGAGAACTATATATAGTGTTATCAATAGATCCAAAATTAAACTTTTACAAGAAATTATTTTAGTTGATGATTATAGTGATAGAGGTAAGTTCTTGAACGTTTTTTCATTTACATATAAAAAATAAAAATTATTAGACCATGCAACATTTAGTGAATATCTCTGCAACCTTAAATCAACTAAAATTTATTGGATACAGCGAATATATGTCTACCTACAGTATACAGTATAAATGTGTTTTATTTTTGTTTTATAGATGAGTTGAAAGTCGCGCTGGATGAATATATACAGTCCAATTTCAACAATAAAGTTAAAATACTTCATACCACGGAAAGAGAAGGATTAATCCGAGCTCGTTTGATTGGTGCCTCGAAAGCTACAGGGAAAATTTTGGTATTTTTAGATTCCCACTGCGAGGTGAATTATAACTGGTAGGTAAAATAACCCCAGTACCACATACTGATATTGGAGTGATGAATATATATATCCGACAAATATAAAGTAGATAACATTTCATGATATAATGTCATCAAGAGATGAAAATAGTAAGTCGTAGATTGAATTTGTCAATACCAGACTAGGTTTCAATTCAAGTTGCATTTTAATTCATTAATTGGTAACTGTGTATTGGTGACAGTTGATCTATTAGACCCCAATGTGGGAAATAAAAATTACATGTCATATGGTAGAGGCATGTATCCAAAAAAAATATTAAATAATGTTCAGTCTCTATTCTTTTTGTCTTTCTGTGTTTGTCCATAATTGCCCTACTGTTTCATGCATTAACTGTTTTTATTGAAACATTATTGTAACAAAATCTAATAAATATCTAATTACAGAATAAATTACTTTTAAATCATGAGGGCTCTAACAGAGTCTTGAAATGAAATTTTATTTTTATTTTATTAAGTTCTTGAAAAAGTTTGGAATACAATATTTTTTTTACAATATGTTATATAATGTCTTAAAAATACAAGGAATTTTTAGGAATGCTCCCTGCTGACTTCAACTCGAACATGTGAAGTTTTAAGCAAAAACAGGTCTTAAATTGCTGAAATTAAAGTCTTGAAAAGTCATATGCTGAGACCTGTAGAAATCCTGATTATAGAATATTTATGTAACTGTTGATTTTTGTCATGAATTTTGACCGCAGTTTGATTATATTCACTCACAAAGTTAACTAATTCCATATGGGGACTGAGTGTGTTCGTAATTGTGTCAATTATTCTGTTTTGTATCTTAATTGTTAAAGCGTTTTATGTCTGCACTTTTTAATGCAATCACGAAATGTTTGTGTCTGTGACACAATGGGGATGCTCTATTGTGAGGAACCAGATAAACGTGATCTAAATGACGACAAGCGTTCTGTATTGGAATCATTAGGTAGAGATTGACCTTAAGGTCACCTCCTGTATTCACTACATTCTATTAATGGCCAATGCATGCATGAGTAGAATAACTATTAGCTATATATGTTGAAACATTCTTTTTATGGAAGGGAGTCTGCAGCTATTTAACACTTACTAATATGGGAACATTACACATTAAATGTTTATATGTGAATAGTGTAAATTTAAAGTATTCCGGGCACTCTGTATCTCATAATAGTTTTATGTTAAAATCCACAAAAATCTATTTTTTGCCACAGATTAATTTCTCCTAAGATACTATAAACTGCAATTTCAACATGGTTACATTGCCCATGTTTTCATAGAAAACATTATGTATATTTCGCTTTGCTTCAGCGTCTGCCATAAGTAACGAGAATTAATGGAAATCAGGATTGAAACCGAGATCTACACTAGATACTAATCTACAAGCGAATGTTATTCAAAATACTCAATTTAAAGAGCAGTCGTTTGTTTAAAGACCACCTGATTTTTTGCTAACACAATTTTTATTTTTTTTCATAAAGCAATTCAATCACCTGACAGGAAATTACAAGCTATCAATAGACTTTGATATTTTTCTTTATTGATGAAACACAAAGTCTTTCTGTGTTTTGTTTCGTTTTTTTACTTCATTTCTGTTAGAAATTACCTTCAATGACATCTATAATCACATTCCAACTGACAAAAACATACTCTATGTAGATAAATAGATCAATTTTACATTTCTAATTTGTCATTTAAAATGTAATAAAGTTAATAATCAACATCGCTAAGTAAATAAATAATTTAATTTATTCAAACAATGTTTTTCACTGCAGGATTATTATACTAACTGCTTTTATAAAGTTCCATACAGATTTTTGTAACTATATAAAAAGTTGTATTTATTTCATACAGAGCTAGTGTTGGTATGAAGTCTACACAGTACAATTATAGCTGTGTGTCTTGTTTGGCATTAAGCCATATCACTATTCTAACAGACACAGCCTGTGGCGTAATGTGTAACTTCACACTCGTAATGTTGATGTACTTTAAACTAGAAACAGATTGTTTTGTCTAATATTGATCTATATTTTAACCTCAATGCTGAAAACCTTGCAATGAGTAGTTTTAAATCACTCAAGTATCTTGAAATAGATAACCTCATGAGCCCCCTCCCCCTTCCCAATTTGATCAGCAGATTGATCAAATGGAAATCCAGGGGTGCAGACTTTTGCTGCTTCTACATTACTTTACCTGGGATCAAGGATGATTCTTGTTGGCGTTTAAAGAATTAAATCATCTAATCATGGAATTCCCAGCAGAGAAATAAAACAGTTTTCAGTGTATTCCCACTGCCTTTAATTGTTTCCCTTTTAAACAAGTTCACAATTTGTTTTTCATTTTTTATGACAGGTTGGAACCACTGATTGAAAGAATTTATAGAGATAGCAGCACAATAGCGTGTCCTGTCATAGATATTATAGATCCTGATTCATTTGCATACAGTGCCTCCCCATTAGTCAGAGGAGGGGTGAATTGGGGGTTACAGTTTAAATGGAAAAATGTACCACCAGTAGAGCTGTTACGTAGAAATAGTGAAATTGAACCAATAAAGTAAGTAAGAAGTTTAATATTCCCATGGAAACCAATTTATTATCATCAAAGTGTGAAATAAGCACAATTCTGTTTACTATATAGCAGGGTTTGCGCTAGTGTCTCGGCAAGACGAGTCCCACTTGTGGACATTTGACCCTGGATAACGTTATTAGAGATTGGACCTCAGCTTGCCTGAAAAATTGGGTCCCTCTTCAATAATTGGAGTCAGGGAAGCAAAATATGGGGTTAACGCAATCCCTGTTAATAGAAAAATTTGAAAACTTGTCTAGTAATTGCAGAACCTACAAAAATGTAGGAATGTCATTCACTGGTAATTGCACTGTTCTGAATCTTTGAGATGTGAATTGTGATGGTAATGTAATTTATTGCAATTCATCAAGTGGTTCCTGTCATACAATTTGATGCCATATACTTAATAAAATATTTAAAATAAAAATCTATTGTACAGATCTCCGATAATGGCTGGTGGCTTATTTGCAGTTGATAGGAATTATTTTGAGCATATTGGGAGCTATGACAAAGACATGCAGATATGGGGAGGTGAACATCTTGAGTTATCATTTAGGGTGAGTTATAAGGTTTAAAGTATACACTTTATAGCAATATATTTGGAAATAGCTACAAATTATCAAAGGCTTTCTCATTTTTTTTTTCAAGTTTCTGGTTATTGTGCATGGCAATTACAAATTTGTTCGTCTCACACTAGGGAGGTCTGATTCCTGAAGCCAAGTGTTCACTTAAATCAAAGAACAGTCTGCCCTGCCTTCCAAACATGTGGTATTAACGCATTTATCTAAAAGACCTTTTTGTGTTTTGGATAATGGGTTATATTTTTGGAGATTACCAGAACCAGGGCGATGTTTTGGCACTTTTTTCTTAACATTGTTTGTACATCAACTGTTTTCATGTTCATGCCTGGCATCAACACGGATTGGCTTCGTCATACAGTAGTTTGATTCACACATGGTACTGCAAAATTTATTAGTCCATGGACTCATTCATACTATATTGAAATTTATAAAAACATTTCCTCCGGCAACACAGATAGAATTCAAAAGCATTGCTTGACTGCTTGAATGACTTCGGTGCCAGGTTGTTGAAAGTTCATCACTACCATGTATGGATGGCATAAATTCAGCATGTCAATTCACAACTTTGATAGTAACATACAAGTCAACAACAACAAGAAAAGAAAAGAAAAGAAAAGAAAAACAATCTATAAGAAGCATCAATTTATTAATTAAGTTATATTTCTACAAATTTCCATCAGACTATTGTTGCATGTGTAAAATTCTTCCTAATCCTGCTGATGCCGATTTGTATCATCACGCTCTTGAAAAAACAATTATCTTTACTGCTGTGTTAATTTTCGCATCACCAAAAGATCATCCAGGAACTGAAACGTCTTCCATGGGCGATCTTTTGCAGTGGGTGATCTTTCAGATAGATACAGTAGGTTTGGGAAACTGGTCTAGCAATTAGTACCTGAGACTAAAAAAGTCAGGAAAGACAGCAGCAAAAGCAATGTCTGGAAATGTCGCCTGGCACAAAAATATTTTGTAGGTTTTTTCAAAAATTTGAAAAAAAGGGAAGAAAAGTAATTAAAAAAAGGACAATTAAAAAAAGTGTGTGGTTTTGTAAACAAATTGATGCAATTATTTATTACTAACTTATTTATTATTTATTAATTCTTATTTTATGGGTCGTATCAGAATAATATTAAATGCATTATTAGATACATCCTTCTTTTGCTCATTTCCGAACCTACTTTGAAACTCTCTAATACAAATAATTAAGGAGAAAAATTACTACCAGGAAATGGCTCATAAATTATATATTCATGAGGACCACACTTTTTTAAGGTCATTCATGGCCATTCCATTTATTACAGAAGAGTAAATAAATTTATGATATTTTTTTGTGTTAAAGGTGTTATACTTAATAATTTAGTCTATTTTACTTAGTTTGAAATATTTTATTGGAAAAAAACATGAGCACTTTTGTTATTCATGTTAAGGCATTATTTCCTACAAAATTAATACCAGTACCCCCTGTAGTATTTGTCAGAATTTAGGTACAATTATAAAGTACCTTTCTTGTAACTTGTGGAAAGTTGCTCGGTAACCATACTTTTTATTTGGAATTTGTGAGCAATAGCAAAAAATAAGGCCATATGGTACAAGTCGAGGAAATCCGGCGATAAGTTTTAATGGTTGCCATCTACTGTGGAATACTTTTTTTTCGCTGGAATAAATTTTCGCTGAAAAGGCTTTTTGGGCGTTTTGCTTGGAATTTATTTTCACTGATTTTTGATGAGTTTAATGTGAAATATAGGAAAAAAAGTATATTCGCTGGATTTTATTTTCACGGAATCATCCCTTCAGCGAAAATAGCGACAATAAATTCCAAGCGAAAATAAAGTATTTTACAGTATCTTAAAGGAAAACACATTATTACCCAAGATGCAGTGGTATTAACATGCGTATATCATGAATGGGCAGCGCTGGTGTTTGTTTTTGCATCATGTTTCCAAGCACCATTGCACTGGCAGTTTATTAACTTAGTTATAATTTATAGTAAACACAAGTACATGTAGTTTTGTGTTTATTCATGGCTGTATACCATTCATGCCAGACATAACTAGTGATTTCACAAGGCATTTTGTACATACATGTGCAGGGTAAAAGGTCGACACAATGTGGCAAGAGATGCATTCCCAGACATTACTGTGAGAAAATGGCTTTGTATTGTAATAATGATTGACGCAAATGATTTGTGATGCATAACGATGAACAAAGCAGATAGACAGTAAACCTATATCATCTGTGGAGCGCAGGTTTAAAATTACATGCATCTTGTGATGTTTTGGTTTTGATTTACGCTGTCGCAATATGATAATTTGTCGTCATTTGTAGGGAGGAGATTTTGTGCTCATGACTGTGACAATGAAATGCTTACTACCCTATAATAAAACGACTTTTGAATTACAGAACATGTTGCTTACACATGTGCAATGCATTATGGGGAAGAATTTTCCATTATTAGTAATTGGTAATTATGACACAGGGAATACACAAAATACACAAGTTTTTCATTTAATTTCATCAAGCAAATTTCTATACGTAATATAATAATTTCACCATTGAAACCAGTGTCAAAATGCTAATTTTTCATTATATTTTTTAATCCTGAACTCAATTGAGTTTTTAATTTACAGTATCATAACGGCATTAATTCATTTTCATGAAAACATTAAAAGGATGACTTATAAACTACAATGCTTTCTGAACTGCCTTAAGACATATATTCTCCACAATGCATTGCAAAAATATGATACATCATCAACTCTCTAATATAAGACATAGATAAAATTAGGTAGCTTTCGGTAGTAACATTTTTGACCACTGCATTCCTGTCATTGAGGACTGCCATCATAAATACATCTGAACTCCCAAATATTTTGTCCATGTCTTTCTTTGTGCAAAAATACTCAGCAATAAAATTCCTACATTCCATTCTAGAAACTACACCAACAATTTACACATAGCTCAACTAAAACTTGTAATTCATTAACTAAAACGCAACATTTATTTCTACCTTGCATTATTTTATTTTATTTTATTGAACCTTTTTCATTATTATTATTATATCACAGCTAAAAATAAATTACTCTATTTCATCACAGTGTTATAATTGTATTCTCTATTAAATACACATGTATTTTATTTCTGGCATAGATATGGCAGTGTGGAGGAACTTTAGAGATTGTACCTTGTTCCAGAGTTGGTCATATTTTTAGAAAATCCCACCCTTACACTATACCTGGTGGCATGGAAAATGTTTTTACCCATAATTCCATAAGAGTAGCCGAGGTATGGATGGATGACTACAAAAGATTTTTTTATGCAACAAGACCAGATGCTCAGGTTTGTTATTTCTCTACTCAAACCTAGTTTATTATTTATTCACTGTAGACTTCCTATAATATCTCATTATGTGTGTGAGTTCTTTTGTATGATCTTCAACCAAGTTACATACCCTTAGCTTCATCTACCCTTGATATCATATAGTTTGTCTCATGAAGTGCGATGTGAGATTTCAATGAAGATCTCTATCATATGTCACCAAGTTGCATACCCTTATCTTTATCTACCTTTGATTACATGTGATTTGTTTCATGAAGTTTGTTAGTTCTTTGCATGATTTCACCGAGATCTTCAACCAAGTTGCATACCCTTATCTTTTTCTACCCTTGATATCATGTAGTTTGTCTCACGAGATGTACGAGTTTGACAGGAAGTTTGATGTGTGATTTCAATGAGATCTTCATCACACATTGTCACTTACTCTTAAGTGCATCCACCTTTGAATTATTATTCAGTTGTTCTATTATCATTTCTCTTTGCAGGGTAAAACTTACGGTGATCTATCAGAGAGACTGAAACTAAAAAGTCGACTCAAGTGTAAGGATTTTAAATGGTATCTAGATAATGTGTATCCAGAGTTGAGTGTACCTAATGAAAACGCCTATGCATGGGGAGAGGTGAGTTGAAAATACACTGATATGTATGAGATCTTAGTCAGAATCAGCAATACATTACTAGCGATGTGTGTGTTTACATTTACAATCATTTTTTGGCAATATATTTGTAGTGTTTCTTGGAATAAAATTGGATTTATATTGTGAACATTTCCATTGCTGAAATACTCAGTTATTGACAGTATGAGATATATACATGTTATACACCGAAGTCAGCAAAGGCATGTATATTCTTAATATTGTTATACAAATTTATGGTTTTCATTTAAATCAGTCTCATTCAAATCTAAATGAGCCACTGGATTGGCTAAGTAGTCCCCTCCCTTTCTTTTGCAAAGTGTTCCTGTCACATTCAGAAATAAATTAGAATAGCTTACGTACATGATTTAGCTGACTTCAGTGTATGATATTACATTTTTCCGTCAAATGTATCCAATATGATGATTCCCTCTTGATACTTTCAACTAGGAAATATCAGTTATTAGGTAAGCATTGTTGTTAAGTATGATAACTGTTTTGTGATGTGTGCTGTTGCTATAGTAACGCACTAAAAATTAGCTATGAAATGTAGTTGGCAGTGTGCAATATTATCTAGTTGCCTGTATGTGGATAGAACGCTGCTGTTGCTATGATACCAGATCAGTGGATTTCTGAGTAACATTGTTTGTGTTTATCTGGTAATTCATGGCAGACTTTAAATAGTACAGTTTAAATTCTGTACTAACTACATTACTGTTTATAGCACTGTCATGGCATTACTAAATTTGTGAAAAAAAGGTGTGTGAAGAAATATTGTTGGCACTGTTAGTTTTTAGAGTGTGATGTTTGTAGTTTTGTGTGTACAGGACAGTGTCATGGTAACTGTATGTGTGCATGTGTTCAACCCCATCCATCTGGAAACTTTACATAACCACATCTTTGGGGCTGATAATATGTTGGGTGATTAAATATAACAATTGGAAAAAATACAAAAGTTGTTGGGGCAATCAGCTAATCATACTTGCAGTCTATTCAATACAATTTGAATCAGATCAGGTGTGAGGGATATTGCGTTTGAGTTGTGTGCACAATGTAAGTAAATACCAACTAGAGAACAAGAGAAAAAAAGGATGGACGCCCAGGTCTGATGCCAGTGTTCTTTTGAAGGATCTGTCATTGTTTTGTCACCGAGATCAACCCTGCAAATGAATTAGAATCATCATTACCGGAACTCAAGAAACGTATATTTACTTAGAAACAGGGAGGTTCTAATCTTTTTACACTTTAATTTGACACTAAGAAATATCTAAAATGATCTTCATAAATGTGTTTAATCAAAAACAAAATCTGGTCACAGAAAAATTTGTATTTAAATTACTGTAAAAGCCTTTATTTCAGCTTAAATTAATTTTTGCTGAAAAGACATTTTGGGTATTTTATATGGAATTTATTTTCACTGATTTTTGATAAGTTGAATGTAAAATATAGAAAAAAAGGTATATTCGCTAGATTTCATTTTCACTGAATCATTCCTTCATAGCGGAAATAAAGTATTTTACAGTATCAAAATGCTTATCAAGCTTATATAGGCTGTAAATCCTACTTGTACATGACTCATTTTTAACTATTTCCTTCAAAGATTTGTGTTCATGAACATCACCCTAGTTACAAACCCTTATCTATTATCTGCCCTTTGATTGTCTCCATAGTATCAATATAGTTTATTATATATATGCCGATAGCTTAGTAAAACGTGCATATAATGTATGTTTGTTTGTACTATCAACATAACAAACTCAATCCCTTCATCTTTATAAATATTTATAACCTCCTAATTCAAACTGAAACAAAAAGTTCCCAGTGGCTGATGGAATAACATTTAAACTTTAGCACAATGCTTTTTGATTGGCTGGTTGGCCATTTAAAATTTATAAATATTTATAGAAATGAAGGAACAGGTTTGTTGTGTCAATAGTATACCAGCTATATACTAGTAAGCAGCAGCATGGCAGAGAATTTTTTCTTGAAAATTTTGACCGACAGTCGCCTCATGACGGACTCGCTGCACAGTCTGATTAACAGTGTGCTTGATGAATAGTGACACAAATTTTTTGACAGAACATACCTGGACAGTTTTAGGAATAGACTGTGCTGAAAAGTTTCTGTATGGATTGCATTTTCTTTAGAGATATCCAATAAACATGATGCATTGACAAAACATTTTTTTCATTGCTATTTATGCAAGAATAATGTTTCATGTGTTTTTAACTTTTTTTTTTACTAGTGCCAAAATGCTGCCAGTAATGTATGTCTGGACACTTTAATGAGAGAAGCTGGACAACCTGTTGGTTTATATATATGCCATGGTGGCGGTGGCAATCAGGTAATTGGAATACCAGTATGATGAAATTCAGAATGACTATTTTGAAATAAGGGAATAAGCTAAGGGAATACATTGTAAAAGTTAAGGTAATATATTGTAAAAGTTACGAGACTACATTATGAAAGCCTACATAATTCTTATTGTAGGTATTTTCTTATACTAAACTTGGTGAAGTTAGACATGAGGAGTTATGTTTAGACGTATCAACCAAAAAAGTTGGAGAGACACCAGTGTTTGAACAATGTCATGCTCTAGGAGGCAATCAGATGTGGGAACATAGAAAGGTTTGTTTTTCTATTTTATTCTTTCAAGGTTGATTTCAATTCAAAACCCGTGCCACTCAAATGAATCTATCCTGAATGGCTTTCGAGTTGCTGGTTTTTGAATGAACAAAACGTTGTTGATCTCAAGGTCGTAACAGAATACTCTGATGTAAACAAAGTGAGTGCAGTGATATGAATGGAGGTGTACCTTTGATTGATTCACAGAAAGTCAGCAATCAACATTCAATATTGCTCTCAATTCATAAAATATCAACATACATATTGCTCGTGAATGCCATTAAAAGAAAAAAATTAATAGTAATGTCTGAACGACGTAACATTACATGAGTTTCCATTGGAAAAAAAGTTAACCTCTGAAGGAGACGGTGGTTCAGTGATTTGACAAAATGGTGACTGGAAACCAAAGAAATACATATACCTAGTAATAAATATTGAGCATTCCTGACCTGAAGTATCACAGAATATGAGCAAAATGCATTTGTTTAATGAAATGATTCCATGGTTACAGCCACCAAAAATTAATTGAATTTTAATGATTGAATGAGAAAAAAAACAGCATTCATGCAGCTTTTCTCTTTAGGAAGTTTCCTGAACACACTCTACCATGCTATAAGTATAATCTGTGTCTTGTATTTGATGTAGTTTAATGGAAACGATTTGATGATCTCTGTATAGTAGATAGCCATTGTCCAGTTTATATGCTTTCAGTCATCTTCCCATGTTTTTTATGGCATATGGATTGGAAGCCAAAAGACAGACACAGGTTCAATGAGTTTCAACTTTATATCCATTAGTACAAGTTATACCTTGCCTCTGTAGATATTGGCAGAGCTCCAGGATTTTTTTGCATTTAAATTCTTCACTTTGCATGGTTCAGTGAATAAAACTGCACTGCCATTGCAATCAACCTCACTCTGCTCTTTTTACAATCACAGATACTTTGTTACGCCTTCTAGCATTATTTAAAAAAATGGAAATTCCTTCAAGAATGTTGGTTGTTTATGTTGTTTCTGTTGCACAAGATATCTTTTCATACGACCCCTCTTTTAAGTTGGCCAGCCAATAACACTGTCACTGTAAACTATACTTCAAAACTTAAATTTAGTTTGTACAAAAAATGTAAGATTTTTTCACACAAATTCAGGCAAATCTAACCAGATGCAAACAAAAGTGTTTGATGTTGATCTCGTAGAGGGCGCTATTCCATTGTCATTCTTTCCAGTATACCGGTATGTTTAACCAATCACATTCAATGGGTGTGTACATGTATAACAGTCAAAGGATAACACAATTACAGTTTTATTGTAGTTTAAAGTTCCAATTTCTTTGATCTGATATTTTTCAAAAAATTCTGTTGAAATAGAAAATAGAATTAAATTTGTTTTAATTCCAGTTGTTACATATCTGTATTTCTTTCTCTTTTTCTCTGTCCAGCATGGTTTTATACGTCACAAATCCAGTGGGCTGTGTCTGGATAGATCTGGTGATAACGATGGCCTAAAAATGATGAGCTGTAATAGTAAAAAAACAACGCAAATCTGGGAATTTTCACAGTATTTCTCAAGTTGAGAAGAAAAGCAATATTATAGGATACTGGTGCTAAGTATTTGTAGCAGGTAGTAATTACATGTGCTGAACTTGCCATCATATTATTGACCACTGCCATCTGTACCTGAACCAATACAGTATGGTGTGGAGTCTACTTGTATATACTTTGGTGGGTTGACTTTTACAAGTCAGGATTACTCTTACATGATTTTTAAATTTTAGTTTTATTTACAAGCATTTTTAAGTATCTAATATTATTACCATAAATAAATCTTGACTGAATCGTCTTGCATGTACCCAGTATCAAAAACCAGTGGATATTTCGATTAGTGACAGTGGGACACACAAGTCACAAATTATCAAGTAACTTCATCAATTAGGCTTTGCACAAAAAAATTACTTGTCAAATTGTTCTTTAGCTGAAATATTTGACGACGTACACATTTTGCATGTTTAATTAATTTGTTAACAGAAGGCGCTGTGCAGTGATAAAATAACTGAAAAATTAACATTAATTATTCAAAGTTTGCCGTAATGTTCTTACTGGTAGAGTTATACTTTTTATAACATACATGAATGAATATAACTGCAAGGCATTTACATATGATTCAGTTTGGATTCCATTCATTATCACAATGTACATTTTAAAAACCTCAAGAAAAAAAAACACATTCAAGACTTGTCAATTTAGATTTTACCCAGAAAAATCCTGACTTTGAAAGTCTACTTGCGTGATTTAGGACAACTGGTTTGATATTGACATGTGTATCACAATGTTCTGAGCAGTGCAAATTTTAACTTACTGTAAAAATATGACATATAATTGTAAATTGAATTAAATAAAACTACAAGATATTCTTGTTAACAAATCTCTTCATCCCACCTCTTGCTTGTAGTTACAATCAACAGTAAAAACACTAATATGAAATCTAATAGATTTTAATTTTTTTATAAAATGGTGCTAAAGTTTTTACAATTGCTAAGGTGCATTTAAATAGCTTTGATATTTACATTTGAAGTGGTGGGAAGCATTATTTATTTAGTTTTTCACCGTGAGTTACCGGTTGATGTCTAGATTTGGTGCCTTTGTGTACTAAATTTTACATTAACTTGTATTTTTAACATTTTCCTATTAGAAGTACAGCATGAATCGGTGAATAGCCATCATGAAATATATTCATCGTCATAATTTCATGTTGTCTTTTTGGCACCTGATGATTGCTGCATGAAAACAGCACTGTGTTCTGAGGGAACCAATTAAATGACTTGTTCCATAAAGGTTTTGGAGTGAGTTACTTGATGCAGTAAACTTTTCATCATTGATGTACAGAGAAAACACCAATGTACATTAAAAAGAGAAAACATAAACAAATTACCCTTGGTACTCACAGATGGGCAGCTTTGCATTAGTAAGATTTTCTCTGAAATACAAGCTTCATATTCTCCATTGTTTTTGTTTTTTTGTTGAGTAAGATTTTAAAATATATGTTTTGTTTATTTACAGCAGGCCAAGCCAGCATTTTAGTAATCATGTTTGATCAAGTTAGTTGTTATAAGTATTCTTTTTGAAACTGTTTTTTGTACCATACAAACAGTGTAACCATGACAATGGATCTGGTCTATGCATGCACAGTCATTCAAGTCTAGAAATAATTGATTTATTTGTTGTCACTATTAACATGTTACTACCTGATTCACTCCAGTATAAAATCAGGTTTAACCATTTCTGAGGTATCAATTGCAATGATAAATATATTTTTAATCATTTTTTGTGCAGATCTCTGTAATATGCACTAGCAAAATATTGAAATGAGATGTTGCTGGGAAACATGATGCATTCAAAGACAACGATCAGTTTCCCTTGCCTCATAATGACATGTTATTCACATGCTTTCATGTCGTATTTTCAAGATTCAACATAAAACTAAAACATAAAAAAAAATTACAAATTTGATGTGTAGACACAATTATTTTTGTAATTCATTTTATCTGAAATGTATTAAAAGTTGGAGTTGCTTTTAAAAATGACATCAAATCACTGTACTTGAATACTTTTTAATTGAAAGAATAGTCATTTGCCTGTGGTGGTAGATAATTATTTATATTGTGAAATCCAACCAATATTTCATAGTACTGTGAAATCTGTATTAGAAGCTGTGGTTTCTATCAAAATAGTACAATGCAAAAGTGTTTTCTATTAGAGCATCTGCACAGATGGTTCCCAATTGCTCATATAGAATGGGTGCGACTTCTATTTGGGATGTGGCCTCTAATACAGATTTTACGGTATGTTGAGAAATTGGAGTCAAAACAACGCATTTGTGGAATAGAAATAACAGTCATATTGATTCTGAATGAAATAAGGAATTTGGTTTGTTATATGTTGTAATTTTGTTTGGATGTCAATATTGTACTCTTATGTTCTATTTTGACTATGTTCAACTATGTAAAATATCTAATTAGGATTACTTAGAATTACAACTAATGTGGATAAAGACAGAAAACAACAAAATGTTGGTTAAAACAACCCCAATTCTTCACCAACAACGCATTACACGTGGTCCTTTGAAGTAGACCAATTCAAGCTTGAAACCACATATTTCTAGAAAATTGTTTGAGGTATTCTGATCAGTGTGATCTACAGAGCCAAATATGTTCTGAATACTTGCAGTTTTTTTTGTACACTATTACATCTGACTGTTCTGTCATGTTAAGTGAACCATTTTAAATTGTATGTTTTTTTCTAATTATTCATGTAACGAATTACACTGCAGTGCCTCACATTGTGCCTTTATATTTGAGAGGAAAGTTGATTTTATCTAATTTGTGACACTGCAATAATCACAATTTTATATGAAAATATTTTATGTAAATAAAAGTGAGAGGAAAATAATGGTTTCTGTGATTAAGTCAGTTTTAAATATTTGTTTAGATCATTGGTGATATATACTGCCCTCAATGACAATGTTCACGAGATATATACTGCCCTCAACGACAACCAGTGAGAGATTACCGAAAAAGATCTGGTGCATGTATGAGTGTTTATTTATCACAGTACAATGTGAATAGAACTAGTTCGTGCACACTGTTGAAGTAAAACTCAACTCTGGACCTTCCGATCATAGGTCCATCACAAGGATCAAATTTGTCTGTAGTCCGGACAACCACTTTTGTCATTTGGCAGTCTAATATGATGGGTGCCTATTTAGACAGCCATCCAGAAATCCTGACTATACCGGTACATTATATAACTTTAACACTGAATACCAAAAAGAGCTTCTAGCAGCTGTTTGGAAAGCTAGATCTTATTGTATTTGACATTGTAGCCAAAAAGATTCAGCTATAATTTGCAAACAATGACTTTGATGTAGAAAGGGGTTTTAACACAAACTTGTCTGAACTATATTTGCATGTGAACAACCAGGTATTTTTTTTTTTAAATTTTACCCTCTGCATGTTATCCAATCAGTTGACCCACAAGACTGGCCCGTCCACTGGTATATATGAACAATACTTCAGAATGCAAAAGTCATTTTGAGAAAACACTTTATTGCCTTTTCTTTAAGACACAATATATATATACAACTTTATTTCAAAAAACAAACAAACCTGGCAGCGCTGATAGAAACTTGCAGTTCTTTAAAATCATAAAATTTCAGCCACTTTTTAAACACATTAAGCTAATGGATGGTTTGATTTGAACTGCAATACAAACATTCTACAGCCAGAAATAGGGATGGGATTTGAGACATACTTGATATTGTCTGGCAATTTAGCATGTTCAACAAAAGTACAACTGTATTGATTGAAAACTAAACTATATGCAAGATGCACATTGGAGCTTAACACTTGGGGCAGTCTTTTAAAGTCAAGGAAATGGAAAAATTGCCAACTCAATAGAAACTCGCTTGCCTTAACAGACCATAGTGTGTGTGTGTGTGTGTATATATATATATATATATATATATATATATATATATATATATATATATATATATATATATATATATATAGGCAATATGCATTTAGAATTTGAAATTGATGCAAGTATACACTAAATTCCCAGATTCAAAAAAACAGAACTATTAAATTAACTGTAACAACCCTCCCCAGTATTTCTTAACTAGTACTTAACATTCTACACCCCCAACAAAACAGGATCAGAGTTGGTGCATATGTCTAAATGGAAGACATGCACATTATATCTTGCATCAAATAAAATATGAAACCAATATTGGGTTATGAAATGTACACTTCTTTGCATTGTGTTACCGCAACTGCAACCACGCTTTCAAACATGTCTGTACAGGTTTTCATGGAAACAGTTTTGCTGCCAGATGCTTGATAATTAGTGTGACTGGGAAAAAACGTTTTTCATGAGAGGGGTTCATTTATGCTTAGTTTCATTTTATGTTTCTTCCACTGATTGAATACATACTAAACTAATCAGGTATTTTGGTGCTGTGCTTAGGGATTATCTAGTCCATTTGAGTCGAGGAATGCATGAGCATACCCACTGAATCAAATTCAATATCAATGGTAACAAACTAAGACTTAGTCTGCATGATATAGGGGTTGGATACCTGAAGCACTCAATACTGATTCACACAGAATATTTGCATAAACCCTGAGAAATAAAAATCTCCCACTTGGTCCAATATGTTTTTTGCCATAGTTTACCTAGCAATTATTACACAACACGACCCTTGCCTGTCCTATACTTAATGAGGTAGTCCACCATACACATGTACTGTGTGATGACAGATTAACAAACTAACAATTAGTTGAATTATAGGTGCATGTAGATTAGATTAGATCATCCCAAGACCCAAGTATAGTTTGTGTACACTATGGAGTTGACATTGCACTGCTTTGTCACAGGTAACGACTAGTTAACTTACAATTATATATACCGGTAATATAATCATTAAAATAAAATAAAAATCTGTGATTGTTACAAAACCTGTACCTCCAAAACATAGAATACATAGATGACACTGTGCTACTTTGTTGCCTTGCACAGCATCTTAAAGTAGATGAAGCAGTAACTGTTTGACTTTATCCACATATTCCTCCAGTGTCCAACCACAACCACATTGTTTCTGTTAAAAGGTTGAAAGAAAGCGACCACTCACAGCATGGCAAGGTTTTGAATTGTCTTTGTCTGGAGTATTGTCATATGATAAGAGTACGGAATAATCTGTTAACACATCATGGTTATGAAGAATTGTTTCCAGTTGAACATTTGGTAAAATGTAGCTCTCTACACAACTTCAATTCACAGGGCACGCGTTGTTGGCATTTAATGTCTCGCAGAGCAACATGACATAGTTTGTATAATAAATAAAGGCACCAATATTCTTGAAATGTACTCTTCATGACTTCATATTACAACATATTAATCCAAATGTTCCTTTTGTGTTTCTACCTCCCACTGAAATGATAAAGATAGGTTGTGATAAATTAAATCCAACATGGTTTCATTTCATAATGTTTTATCCCATATCTCAAAACATTTGTGTTTTTCACAATTGAAATTATGATTTATGTGTTCAAATTTGGATAAAATTATCATAACACATGATTGTTTGTTATTTTGTACACCCACCACAGATGTACTGTGCACAACACTCCATCAGCCATATATATTTATGTTGCTCATAAATGTGTTACAACTAGCACCCCCAACTATACACTGAAGATTCCATTGAAGTGTTGTGTTGTGTTCCTACCGGTCTCAATTCAGACCTATTTATGTACTTTTTAAGGCCACTTATTTGTGAATTCAAGGCCTACTTTTGCAGCAAACTCGCACAAATTCTGAATATGCAATCATATTACTACCGGTAATTACTACTAATAATAAAGAACGTTCGTTACAAACATTTTCCAGATGTCAAACTCAGACCTTGTCTTTTGAAAATTCTCTTGGAGCTAAAAATGGCTCTCCCGGGCACAATGGGGATAATTAAAAGAGCTGTGCTATTTAAATCTCCTCAAAATTGTATGGATTGTCACTCAAAAGAGTGACGATTAGCTCTTCTGAGTCTTGACATGACTTAGTAAGTCATGTCTGTAGAATTCTGTGCTGTGCCGATAACGTCAACTCACCATTGCAAGTTGTCTACCAATGTTGCCTATTGTCACACCACCTGAGAAGAATATACACGGCAGCCATGATCGTACATAAAGGAAATCTGGTTCTGTGTACCTACAAGTGAAAGGCAGAAGTAGAATAGAGTTAATTACCATATAGACATATGACTCATTGTCAAAACATTCAGTATTTACTGAATGGTAAATCAAATTAAGAACTATGCAGTGTTCTGCACCTGAATTTCCTCCTTAGTAATACAAGGGTCATTGAACAAGTGATATGTCGGACAAAACAGGTCATCCCAAGGAACCTATTGGTACATATTGCATATGGAAACAATTCAGTTTGAAAGAAGCAGTGTTATATAAGAAAAGTTGAGGAATTTGATGAACAGTAGTCATACCGGTACTAAATATCAAATTTAAACAAATATTTTTTTTTTGAGAATATGATTAACATTACCCTATATGCATTAGAGAGGTTTATTTGCAAAAAAGCAATTATTAGACTGAACAGCATAAAAACAACAGAGTTGAGTTTCTGGTTTGTTTTATAAAAATGTTTTTTATCGAATGCCACAGATTTGTCACAAAATCACAAAAGTTTGTACGAGCGAAAATGTCTCTGGGATTAGTACATGCTGAGAGACTGCAACTTTTGCATAATTTTGTATTCACAAATGCCATAAAATTCCTAGCTGCAAATTTGTTTATCTAGTCTCCTACTGTGAAATAAGAATGTGAATTAAGTACATAATACATACCTATAAACACCATTGTAAACAAGTAACTGTGTAACAAATGTAGCTAAGACCGCTATACCAATACCAAGCCCAAATCCACTGCGTGATCTGTCAAATAACCACCATAATCCAATGGATAATGCAGCTAGTGTCAGCGAAAACTGTAAATTATTGGCAAAATCAATTTTCTGAAAAATTCACAGTTAAGAAAACTAAAACATGTACGCTGTAAATGGTTTATTCTCACGCATATTTATGTTTTAATGTGAATATAAAGTGTAATATGTATCCCATATGTAAATGAGGTAGCCTGTTTTTATGCAAATTAGGCAGGACTAGCATCTAGGATAATTTCTTCTTCACTTGCAATAATGGATTATGGGTAATAACAGAAGCTGCTGATATGAAACCTAACTAATAATGTATGGTTTGACACAACATTGACCTATGACCTGAGTGAGAATTAAAAGGATACAGCACTAGCATGGTTGATACCAACGAAGACAGCTACACATCTCATAACAGTGGACCATTCTTGCTGTACTTTTTGTGGTTCTCCAAGCCTATCATCCATACATGGATACAACAAACCAACTAAAGCTGCAGTCAAAAAGAAAAAAAAAACACTTATTGTTATTACTGTAAAATCTATATTAGAAACTATGGCTTCTATTAAAATGGTACAATGCACTGAAGGAGATGTGGCTTCGATTAGAGCACCTATACATATGAGAGATAATGAATTTTTGGTTCTGAATTGTTCAAAATGAATGGGTGCGACTTCTATTAGAGATGCGTCTTCTAATACAGAATTTACAGTATTATTTATTATTATACACATTGCCTGCTAAAGCCAATAACTGTGTTAGGAACTGTACCTCCAATAAAATACAGGACTTTGAAAGTGGCAATTGGTTGCAGAAAGCAGTAACTGCATTAACATTTTAGTGAAATTAGACATTTAAGATATGAAAATTTAATTCTTCATATCGTTTATTACAAATCAGAGCATCATTCCACAATGAGTGTCTCTCTCTGCTATTGGTTGTAAAAGAAGCAGAATTTTGGCATAACTGCATTGTTCACTGCTGCTGTTATTAAATACACAAGTATGTGTTCTTGTTAATAAAACTATTTATGGGCAACGTTGTCACAGCACATTGCGTGCTAGTGTTGATCAGCAAGCGATAATTTTATCATTCACGTGACGCATGTTGACAAAAATGTAAACAATGATGTCACAGCCTAGAACATATTTGAAACTACCATCCTAAAAGTATAAAGAAAATTCTTCCGGATATTGACACGACACTAATTTATTTATAGAAGTTGATGTTATACAGGTAGACTTTAGACATGAATAACATCATGTTATCCAAGGTGATTAAAACACAACAAAAGTTGAGTTGTTGAGTTAATAATATTCACGTCTATTGATAGCTGTAAATTATGCATCCAGGACATCACTCAATTTAGAAATTGGAAGGGATCAAGTTTGAAATAAAGACGTACAGAATACATTTTCAATTCTTCACTAGCAATCTATGACCAGTATGTCAATGTTTTCTTTGTGAAATAAACGAGAATAACGAGAATAAAAAATTTACATACCTGCTGCTGTACCACAACATGGCGGTACCCACCACGCTGATGAGAAGACGCTGGCTAACACTTCGGGCGGAAATAACGTTACATTACGCTGTACTTGCAACAGATTTAGCACCAATGCAAAAAAGACACCCACAGCGAACAGGACAATACCTCGTATAATCATGTACATAGTAGGCCTGGAAATAATTTCAGCTCTCATCTTAATATATATATATATATTATTGTAGTAAATAGTGATATAGTTTTGTTCATTCAACTTAGTCTCTGTAAGGTCTGGTAACCATGGTTACAGCAAGATTCTGAAAATACAACATTTTTCAAATTAATTTGTGAAAACAAAATAGTACTACATGTATGAGTGTGTACAAATGTAGATTGCAACAAATAACGACCTTGTTTGTATCTAACCCATGTAATCAAGAGCATCTACAAAGAGATGCAGTAACTGGCTGCCAAGCAATGGAGATAACAGCCAGCTGAGATGATACAGCAACCTTGTGATCTCAGGTGACAACTACTATCATTCATGTACAAGGTACAGTTGAACTTGACAGTACAAGATACAACCCTGACCCTTTGACCACCCACACAATCACAAGATGCAAAGCAGCAAAAGTGTGGCTCACGCCATACACCTTACTTAGAAAACAAAGTCTATTCTCACGCTAACTATCTTGTTATCTGCTGTATCCTTGAGGACACAGTTGTTCTCTTGTACCTCACTGCAAATACAAGTAAATAAGTATTGATCTCTTGGCAGATGATCAGTGTTCCATAACTAACAACCCCAACAAAAAAATTACCATGTACATTGAAAGTGTCAAGTAGGCTTATCATAGGAATGCTTTATTAAAGACTCAGACATCATGCCTGCTGTATGTAGGATTACTATGCATAGCTGCAGAGATTTTCAGCAGGGATTGTGATGCAGAGAAAGTTATTTGATGCATTCTGCTCAAATGGGCCCTTTTAGGTTCTTGCCTCCAGATGAGGGGAGGGTCACTTTTAGGTTCTTGCCTCCAGATGAGGGGAGGGTCCCTTTTAGGTTCTTGCCTCCAGATGAGGGGAGGGTCACTTTTAGGTTCTTGCCTCCAGATGAGGGGAGGGTCACTTTTAGGTTCTTGCCTCCAGATGAGGGGAAGGTCAATCTATGTGTTGAGGGTTATGTACATGGTTTAAACTAGTCAGCACCTACAAATTTAAAATGATGTCAAAACATACAAGTAATATGATTATGTATATTATGGCATATCTTTAACTCCATGCATGTGAAATTTCCTAATGCTACAATGTTAACATTTTGTGATGGTTTGATACCAACACATGTCAGTGGATTTCTCTAAATTTACTCCAGACTACTACATGTGACTATAGCATTTTGTTTGACAGAACCAGGACAGTCTTATCTACTTCAAATGGAATATATTTTTGCTGTTTACAATGAAAATATGAATCAACGAAAAATACAACTTCAAAAACAGCATGATTTAATTACAGCAAAAAATAATTTCAGCTAAAATACAGTAAAGTGTATCAACAAATGGACCACTGAGATGAAGGTATCAAATTTATATGCACTAGTCATTTACAATTTACTACGCTCAAAATAATAAACAAATATCACAACGTCAAACAATGAAATCTAGTATGCTTTTGTATAATGCATGTAGATACGATATCCCCGGGGTCTTGTTCATGGTCGCTGTATGTAATATTAAAGTTCCTTGTTTTTGAAGGGTGCATGTAACCTGATTCACTGAACAACACCCTGTGGGTGACACGCAGACTGTGCGATACCTAAAGAACAGTAGCACCAATGTTATGACTGCCACGTACTTTACCGTGACAGCGCCTGATACTTTTGTGGAAGAGCTTCGGAAGCCGAGCGTTTCGTTCAGAAAATATATCGCTAAAGATATGTTTATTTATGGCTACCCGATTTACACTAAGAATGTCTTGACTTTCTGGTTTTACAAAGACCTAACTGGATATATTATCACTCGCAAGGTCGAAACAGCTGTGAAATGCTGCTTTCGTTTTCAAAGGCCAATGATTTAAAAACGCGTTATTAGGCATTCCACTTTACTATTTTACACTCACTAATTTGCCAGAGAACAGGAAATAATACATGCTTACGTGCACGTACATTACCTCCGATAATTTTTAATGCACGACTCCGACCCAAGGACGTCAACAACACACAACACACAAGCCAACTCAGACAAGTGATGCACAGAATTATAATACACTACTCACACTGTTTTACACATGCTGAAAAACGTGCACTGGTCAAATTCATGAAAATATCAAAATGTTACCTGTGTGTGGTGGTCCTTATGTCTGTTTCCGAGCTGTAGATACCAAAATATAAGGTAGATAAATGCGAGAAAACCAATAACTTCGATTACAGTGCTACCCGGCTAAAGCGTGCTGTTGTTTTGACTCATATCGAAATGGCGGAAGTAATTAATCACGCATGCGTGAGAAGGTGAGGTGATGGGCACTAACCAATCAGCAACCAGTATAAATTTTGTCGGATGACATCGCATGATTACAAAGTCGGTCACATGCTTTCGGTCTTTAATTTCGTCGAATCAGTGAAAATCAACCTCGAAACAAGGTCACACACATACCTGTGTGTTTCGGGTCACTGTAATGGTGTGACTTCTGGCCCATGGCCAATCACCGACAGACGAACATTTATTTTCCTCGTACCACCCGTCACGTCAGTTTGGTCTGAGCACAATTAATCCTTTTTAGTATCCCGTGATTTGAGTTCGTATGTTGCAAATATATTTGCAATTATTTATAATTAAAAGAACAATACTCAAACACAACCATTACAAATCTGGAAGGGCGATGGTATAAAAACTGTGCAAACTTGTTTCTTCACTTTTTTTATCGATTTAGTCTACGAATCATGATTTTTTTTTCAAAAAATCAATATATAGTTGTTTTTTTTCTGTGCAGCCTTGTGTTCCGAACAATTGTGTTGTAATAAATTTAGCGTACAAATCAAGCACGTGCGAACATTCGCCACATCATGGTGTGATTTCATATGCAATACAAATATTATAATCTTACAATAGCGTATTTTCGCACACGTAGTCGGTTTTGGGTGCAAGTGGTGTATGTTAAATTAATCATAACTTGAACAATAATTTGAATACATGTCGCTTTTTCCGTACTTGCCATTGTCATTATCCACTCTATCTGCACGCGGGCACAAATTTTGAAAATAAAAAGTAAAAATTTTTGAATCGAGACGCATACAGAAATGTCATATTTTGCCGTGTGCGGCGCACTTAGATATCTGAAAATCGTTCCACTAGCACAATACAAACAACTTTTGATGAGTGTGCATGAATCTTCCCATATGGAAATCAACAATCCAGGGCTTTGTCTTTTATTTGCAATTTGATTGCTTTTAGTTGTGATAATAATAATAAGAAGTGACTTTGGACGAGTATGTCACGGACTCAATAGGGAGACCAAATCCACTGTGACATTTTAGTGGCAAAGTGCCCATAAACGGTTAGGAGAGACAAGAGTTGTTCAATGCTTGGAACTGTCGTCTGCCTCAAAAAAACAGTTTAAAGGGCGGCAGTCGTCGAGCCGCGTCCTGTTCGATATGGGACTCATAGCGACGTATACAACGCGTGTAAAATACATTGTTTACTTAAATGAAATTCGAACACGCGCCGCGCGACGACCACCGCGCTTTAAGTTGTTGTTATGGAATCCCGACAATTATCAGAGCAGTTTGACCCTGCCTGATCATCAACTTTGTTATTTAAATATGTTGTCTTTGTTTTTATTTGCCCGTGCCGATAAGCCTCGCAAGCCCCAAATAGCTGGTAGATACATCAATAGATAAACGATTCTAGTATCGATAAACAAATAATACAATACTATCGAGATGGCGCGAACGGCGGTTGTTAGACGAACCCACCTGAAGTAGTATTAGTATTAGGCAAAACCTTATGGATCTTATTTAAATTATTCGATGTATTCAAGACAATGAATGATTTGACTGTATCATATTACGATATGTCATATTTATTCAGAACTGTACAAACTTACATTAGACCAATGTAATTGGCCTAATTGGTATGCTCCTACAGAAAATGTTTATTAGCTTTGTCGGGTCTCTCTAAAATACAACACATGAATGTTTTATTTACTAGAACTGAGGACGATCATAAATTAGCTTTATTCGTCAAAACAAACAATCAAAATGCACCATACTGAAATATACGAGGAAAACAACCGAGGTTAAAATTGATTTAAAAATACAGCCTGTTTAATCAAGATATGTGTTACTGCCCTTCCCCAATAACAGTATTGTAAATATTATTAGTATTAATAACGGCTGATATGAACAAACCAAATTACCATAACCGTCTCTAAGGTATTTTAAGAGACTGATCTATATGAAAGGGGACAAAGGGATGATGGGTCACTCGTGCTTATATCGCCCCGCGTATGTAATACTTCGATCATCATGTTTATCAATTGACGCTATTGAATTGCTTTTCATATTTTACAACTAAAGTCAATAATATTTTTTGCATATGCATTTCTCATAATTTTCATACTAATTTTTATCAACATTTCTAATAATAAATGTTTTCCAGGGTAACAAGGTGCTGGCATTCGAACTTTAGGGGACAGGTACTTATAATTAATTGTTTGAAACTATCATCAATTTATAATGATAAGTACAAAAGACAAAAATCTATTAGGAAAAATTTGTGTTCAAGTATTAGCTTAACGGCTAAAAATGAATTGGATACTTTGTGATCACAACAATAACAAACAAACAATCTTTATTACATAAAGTATAATATAAAGTATAATATAATAATAAAATGACATTAAAAAAAACAAAAGTGAATATTTACAAACAATTGATAATCTTATTTATTTTAAGTTGCACTTCGCTCAAAGCATTAATTATTCAATGGCGTATACAAAAACCTCTAAAAATATTCAACATCACGTTTTAAGTTATTTACAAATCAAGTCATGTCTTGTATTTTCTACTGATTTCAAACTGACACCATACTGTGGCCTCTATGTTTTGCTAGTCGGGTCACGACAATCTTAAATAATCATTTTTTGTAACTTTGACCCCGGACTAGTAATTGATACCCACAAAATATTGCTGTTTCATGTTACAATGGACCAATAAACATTGTCATGCGATATACGACCAGTTTTCTCAAACATTATAATGCTACCTTTAACTTATGGTCGCCATGATGATAATTATTCCCGCCAAAATGTCGGCGTAACAATTTGACTATTTTTATGGGTTTTTTTTTCTAAAGAAAAATCGATAAATTTGAATCAAATAGATATAACTTCCTGTATTGGCTACGATTTTCATAAACATTTTAGAAGAAATGATGTGATTTCTTTTATGAATTAGTTCGGATGGGAGTTGCACTCAGTGAACTCTTCTGATTACTGCATGCAAGTGGTACAAGGATCAACTACGAGTGATAAGATAATTCAGTTCAGTTCAGTCAAAGTTCGGAATATAGTTCGATTGCACGATGTCACGAACAGATTGGTTCATGACCGCGTTTTCGTTGAAAATAAATTCACAAATAACCCATCTCACCCCTCGACTCTGTCAACTACCGCGACGTTCTCTATACAGGTCATCTTCCCCTCACATGCCCCAAGAATCATTCGTGGATACACCATCAAAATGACGTTATAAGTAGGGGCGATGTCATTGAAACTGACCACCATGTTTGGTTGTGTAGTCGTTTGTCGTCTAGATTATAGTGAAATTTCTCAAAACCACAATCTTAATCGTTAAGTTATTGCATTTATATAATTTTTAAACGCAGGCTGTCACAATTTGAGAAGAAGTATTAATATAAAGTACTATATATCCTGTGATGTATATAACTCTCCGCCAGTTACAACGATAACAAGTTAAAATCGTTTTAATATACTTTTAAGACAAAACAATACATAGTAGAAAAAACTTTCAAAAGTATTTAACTAATAAACGAGTTTACGTACAAATTCTTGAGTAATTCGGCACTATTTTAATCAAAGCGGACATACGAAATAGGCGTTTTTAGCGTTGAAACTATGACAAAATTAACCAAATCCTATGTCGTCTATAATTATCGATATTGTGCATTCCCTTTACGTTCCCATGACAAAACAATTATATATTATATCCCGAGTATTCTACACACTAACGTCTTTATTTCTTCTAAATTTCAAACGGAGAATTTACATCATGTTTATCTACCTAGTGCGTTTCTTTAAGAAACAAACAAATCATGTACAAAAATATAAATATATAATACCATCAAAACTGTTTACATAAGATATTAGTATGTTTTTTCCACTTCATAACAGATTGGACTAAATTAGTACACTACACTTTACGATATTTGACTGCAGAACAAATTATGATGTTTCGTTACATCACGCAGACTTACATTACATTACATTACATTACATTACATTACATTACATTACTTTAGTCTATTTCAAACCATTACATACCGTGTTTTTATTATCATATCAGGTGGACACATTCCCTGAATTGAACTTAGTATGCAGTTGATGAAACTGAAAGATGCATTATCGAAATTTAACAAGATAAGAACAGTTTTCTTGAGAAATGTGAACTTATCCTCGGGGGCGGACATCCGGGCATTTTCACCGCCTGGCAACCGGAGGCGGTGAAAACAATGGCCCAAAACTCGGAGAAAACGGTATTTTGGGATGATTGTTGAGACTCCTCTGAACAGTGTAACAAGATTAGCCCTACGTGTGTAACATATATAAATTTGGTTGTTCGGTATTACTTCAAAGTTGAGTTTGTGTTGTTTTCTCGAATTTTGACCGGCTCGACCGGCGTTCCACAGCAGCGCGCACAGAGCCCATAGAAATGCATGTACAGTGGTGCCCGTCGTAGCAACGTGGAACGTTTTGTGACGTAGCTCCGCCCCCGAGGATACTGGAAATTGTTAGTAAAAAAAACGACACTGGCACATTTGTGTTTCAATACCGATAATACTGGTACATCCTAAGTCCGTGTATTTGTATCGCCTGTTACTATAGTGATCACTCTATACGTGATCCATCTGTTGGTTACCTCGAGGCAATGACGGCCCCGAATAACGTACATCAAACGATGCCTTAATGGAACTATAAGCAAGACCGATAGACTGAAAAAATGGATCGATACCGGCTCTGATACCGACTCTCCACGGATTGGAAAACACTCGAATACCTACGAAGAGTAATTTCAACAAAGGTTGCACTATCCACACGATGACGGAATTTAATATTCCAAAGGAAACTCCCCACACCACACCGAAGATGGCGCCTAACAACAAACTCATGATACGATAGGTGTATACCTGGAATTAGAACATAAGAGTACACTGTAAGTATCATAATGATCTTGCAAGTCTGTGGGGGTATGTGGGTCGGGGTATATTGGCTGGGCAGAACATCGACCACGTCAGAAATATGTGGGGGTATGTGTACCGGGTTATGTTGACTGGGCAGGACATCATTCGCGTCAGCAGCTAGGGGGCATGCGGGTCCAGGGTGTCTTGGTTGGCTACTGGGATATGTCTGTGGTACCGGGATATGCTGAACATCAACCACGTCAGGAGTCTGTTGTACCAGGGTATATGGAATGTATGGGACATCATTTGTCTGTGGGACCGGGGTCTGTGTGTTGGAAAGGACATCAACCAGTCCAGCAGTCCCGGGACCGTGATGTGTGAGTTGCATAGGACAAGAATTTATAGACTTGACGGTTCGTGCATACAGTGTCCTTTGTTTTCCATTGAATTCATATCAGTCCGTTTGTTCAATATATATTCTGGCAAATGACCTGAGACTTACAAACTTATATGTTGCATAATTACCCACATGTCTAGTGGAATACACCGAGTGGACCCGGGTGAGTGGACAACCGATGCGCATAAACAAGATCGCGTGAATTGCGCCATCTGCCGACGACTACACGTTCACATATCCTCGGGGGCGGACATCCGGGCATTTTCTACCGCCTGGCAACCCTCACGGTGAAAACAAAGACCAAAAACTCGCAGAAAACGGTACTTTGCGATGGTTGTTGAGAGTCCCCTGAACAGTGTAACAAGATTAGCCCTACGTGTGTAACATATATGAATTTGGTTGTTCAGGATTACTTCAAAGTTGAGTTTGTGTTGTTTTCTCGAGTTTTCACCGGCTCCACGGCGTTCCACAGCAGCGCGCACAAAGCCCCATAGAAATACGTGGTACAGTGGTGCGCGTCTTAGCAACGTAGAACGTCCGTGACGTAGCTGAGTGAAAACATGGAATAATTGTGCACATAACATAAATATATTGCCCCTACAACAGTTATAACAGTATTTCACCTAAAACCATCCCGATTGCGTTGATAAACAGAATTAAAAATCATTGCCGTAACTTCATTTTGGACCCAGAATGGGGCACAGTATGCTGGTTCCCGCCTCAAGTGTCATGGCGTACCTCCTGCCTGCCATTCGCAAAGGACGCCGGGAACCAGCGAAAGTACGAATGTCCTGGATGGCGCAGAATGGTGGCGCAACTAGGGGCGCACAATGCTTATTTTGGGAAATGCGCCGGCGCATTCCAGTGGCGCAGAGTACCGATTTCGAGCCTCACACATACCTCACATACTATTATTACACAATAAACAATTACATACAATCTATACAACTCACCTGTGTGTAGGTAAATATTGTATAAAAGAATCCGTCTATTACCGGCCAATTACGGGACCCCAACGGTTCGTGGAAAACTGAATGATATGTCAACTACAAAGAAAATAAACATAATATTAACACGATATAACAGACGACATTCGACGTGTGTGCATGACGAGGAGGGGTATGGAGGATAGTAATGACAATTCCTGAGTATGAATAAATATGTTCACGCAACACTGCAGTGTTTCGTATTCGTTTTTCGTTTCAAAGATGTTTTGTTGTTGTAAAGGTCCATGGAGCACTCAATGCACACCCACCTCTACATGTTCATCTAATACATAGATATTGTCGCCGCTGCCCGTTGGTTGTAATCTCTTAAATGATAACAGTTCATGGTGCACGTCATCGTCAGGCTTCCCTCGTACTTCGCAATTTTCTTTCGCCATTTTTTCTCAGCTGAAAACGGTAAACAAAGAAAATTCCTACTAGGACGATGTGGCGTTTCTTCTATAGATAATGTAGTCATATTTACTGGATTTTGAATTTACATGATACTTTTACATTAATGAGTTCAATTGCAGATTTCACTTAGCAGAAGTAATAGAAAAAAATAAAATTTGAAAATTATTTAATTTGTAATATTTCATATTATCCCGCAAGGGGAACAAGAATGGTTGTTTTATCCGTTCTCCGAATTAATTAATTGCGTAGATAAATATATGGTAATACCCACTATTTAATGCAACACGTAATTAGAATCATGATCGATTAACTATATTTTCTGTTCTGCATATATTATTTGAAATAACCACTACCGTGACAAATCCGAATAAAATCTGATATATTGTATGGCGTGATTTTATTTTATATATTTTATTTTTATAATATATTTTTATTATTTTGTAATTTTTATTATTATTATTATTATTAAGTACATCTTAATTTGTATACGGCTTTAACTATTACCAAAATACAGCCAGCAAATAAATAATAAATTCAAATAAAATAAAATAAAATAAAATAACGTAAAAGAAAGAGTATGATAAAAATAAATAATTAAAGACGTATTTAAAAAATGAGAAAAAACAAACTGGGATCTTAATCAGATTATAACGTGACAATACAAATGTTACATTACTAGGAACGCCCCCTAGCGGCAGACACAATTCTTCATTCCTTTGTTGGGTTAAATCATGGATGGTGGTAAACATATTTTCACCTCCATGGGTCAAATGAAGTTCGACAACCAGCGAAGCCCCTGAAGTCAGTTATAGTGTATTGTAATATAATATATTTACATTAAATCGCATAAAATGACAAACGCAATGTTACCCAGTCTCAAATGAACATTTACCGGTATATAACCTCAAATGGATTAAATATTACATACACATACATCTCAAACCAGTGTAGCTGATTGTGCAATTAACACGCAAATGTTTGCAGTTAAAATATAATATCTATATTGCAGTATGTGTTGTTGGGCGTGTTTGTGTCGAACCTCGTGTCTTGTTGTAGGGCGAACGTCCTTGGGTGAACCTCATAAACATGGAGATGGCGGAAGTAGCGCTGGCCTCGCTGTAACTAAACATTTACCCACTAACGCCCAGGTGCCATACAAGCAAACATTTAAAAATAATCCCTGCGTTTGCGCAAAATATACGTATGGGTCTATTTATTATTCGAGAAATTATCGGCAATGTAAGCGGGATAAATAAGCAAATCCCAAATCTAATCTAGTGTAAATACTACTGTAAATAGTTAATATTGGCGCACGTATTTACGTACATGTTTACGTGGACTCAGGTGGTACAATGAAATATATATAATTGTTTATTTGCGTGATGGAATTAATAAAACCATTTTACCTACCGTACTGTGCGTAATGCTGAAGACTCCAATAGCAAGTGAAACGGTGTCGTGCATATAATATCGGAAGTACTGTTTGCTTGAGTTCGGGTCACTGACCGCATGAACGAGGCCAAAGGACGTTGGTCTATTGTAGGAGCGTATGTTTCATTGTACATTGGGTATATTTCTCCAAGGTAGACGATAATGCGTTCAACTGGCTCAAGGAAATATATTACCTAACTGGACCTCGATCGATCGCATACTACACTCAATAGTATACAAACGTGTAAATATCTCGCTGTTATTTTTGAGAAATGCAATGGGAGTAAATGACACAATTGTAACTGTTTATACCGTGTATTGTACTAATATACGTCATTGACACCACACCAACTTTTTTCGTAATAATCAGGTTTTTGACGACGTATTCAATATCTGCATCTCGCATTTCAAGTCTAATTTTATAGTGACGCCGGCCTCCCAATAAGTCGCTCTAGTTTAAACATTCCACTCACGTACTTCATTCGTATAGTCCCAATAGATGGAGGATTCACACGGCGTTAACGATTGATTTAACGAAATACGCGGTCGTCCGAAACTTCCATTGTGGTGGGACGTAGATTCATTCATTCATTCATTCATTTATTCATTCATTGTCGAATTAAAAGATGGGCAATATTACTGGTTCTTTCTAACAAAAATGTATTCGGTACATTGCATACCTGTGTGTTAAAGTTTGATGGCGCACTTCTAATATTTCATCAAGTATTGCCGTACATCCAATATGTGCCAATATAGGCGCGATGTTAAACAAAAGCGACGCAGAAAGCAGGAAATACTTACTTGCACTATATAATGCTTTGTGAGGCAGAGTACATCGCTCTGTCTAAGTTTCTGGTATAATAAAGCAAATATACTAGTAATCCGAAATTTCAAACAACTGATAATACTATCGACAAATCATACAATGTTATACTATTTGATTTATGGAGACAATTTATAGATTCCCGAGAACGTTGGGACATTAACCTCCCTTGCAAACAACATACTACTACATGGTGCATGTATACGCCACAACTCGTCTATTAATACTAGCTTGAATATAGTTATCCCATTGGTGAACTGTGTTTAGAAGAGCACAATAAGTAATTAGTTGTATACACAGTTTCAGCTGATCACACAATTTGCCAGTAACATATTGTCTTGGGCACTGAGTCTACGACACTATCTATAAATATGCTTATAGTATCTTTCAATCTATGTGTTACAAAAAGGACCAGCTTATATACATATGAAATCATACTTAAGCAACGATACACAAAGTTTATCATCCATATAAATACTAAACAAATACGTTTTACAATTTTGATTCACTATCCTTGCACCCCATGCTTAACCTGAGTAAATAATCCAACAACGCATTAGAGAAACTTGCCATCATCGAGTCGTGGTAGTTTTAATCTTTTAAAAATAAAATGCGTGTATCAGTTTTTTTTAAATATATATATATACAAGTAAGCTAGTTACTGTATTATTTACGGGATTAACTCAGGGCTTATATTTCGTAGATAGATCTTTAACTAATTGGAGTTTAATTGTTTTTTTCTGAAACCATTTTTATGCTGAATGTATTCATTATTTTTTCTCTCGATGCTCACTCCCCCACGAGAACATCATTCTACTACTTGCTGTAAATAACGTCGAGTATACTTGCAAGGATATGGAGGTTGAACAATATTAAATATCATCTTTTGTATTTGAAGACAACGAAATTAATTAAACGGAGATAAAACATATGTTTGTCTTGTAAAACCTATACATTTATCACAATGGATAAATGGGAGCTGTTAATGGAACGAATATATCTTAATCAGTACAATTGACCATCAATCATTTCTTACCTACTCAGGGTATTACACGAAGAAATGTAAAATTAATTATATACGAGGATATTAATGTGAGATAGGGAAGGCACCCCCTGGTATGGAAACTGCTTATACTATGAACCGAAAAGCTGTTAGTAAGTTGACTGGCTGACTGAGACCAGAGAACACATTTGTCGAAGTAAGTATACATGAATATGACATATACATAAACAATGAAGTATGTTTTTTACCCTTTATCGTGAACGTATTACTCGTATAGCCAACATGACCATACCAAATTAATACAAACAGTAAAATGTTAAGTGATAGCGACTATACACGTATAAACTGTGCCTCAATAGTTAGCAAATTATTTTCTGCTTGCTAGTATTAGGTATAGTCTTCAAGTTACATGTTACCCTGCATTCACAATCCGCATCTCAGGTTAAGGTCACTGTTACGTTAATGATAATATTTTTTTTTGTTATATATCAATAGTCACAATTAAATACAGTGAGATATACTCTCTGTGTTATATTCGACCTAATATGTATGAATTAAAATCGTTTTTTTTGCAGGGAAATGTCATCTTTAGTCATGGACTTCCGCAAACTGTTTGTGTTGATGTCTGTGTTGGTCACCACTCGCTGTGAAGGTATTTAAAAAAATCATTATTAGTTGAACTAGCGTAACAGGTCAAAGGTGACGAATGTATTATAAACATATTTAAAAACACAATACTAAAACACATGTTGTCACCAGGTTGACACATTCTGAACATACTTGGAAATGAACTTGACTGAGTAAGCATGGCAAAGTAGTCTATTTCAAAGTGGTGGTGGTGTACAAAACAGTTTCATTTTTTAAAACTTATGTTCTCATTTTTGTACAGATTTTGTAACAGAAAGCGATGCAGTAAGATACACGTGCTTTGGGTGGGAATTCTCGGTAAACTGTGGTTCGCTGACTTGGGAGGATGCAAGGCAGGCATGCAAAAATGATGGGTTTGATGACTTAGCCACAATACGATCGGCAGAAATGCTGTCAGATATACATAAATTTGTGGATGAAAATGGATGGACCAAAGCAAATTGTCATGGCGGTGCAATGTGGATTGGTTATTATGATCCAGACACGACCAATGCCATTCCACACACGGAGGCTGATTTTCAGTGGTTAAGCACTGATACCTGTGCTAAGTACGTCGAATGGGAAGCGGGCAATCCAAATGATAATACTAAGAAAAACGCGACAGGACAGTCATGTACAGACCTCTGGTTAGTCATATACGTAATCTTCGATCAGTTTATTTGATGATTGTCATGTAGAATAATTAGCATACCCAAAAGATATCAGAAATATGTGTATAAAGTGTAACGATATATATGTACAAGGCCAGAGTAAAGGGCACAACTTCATAATGTTCAATATTATGAAAAAAAAATTAAAAAATAATATTTAAATACAGATATGCTTGAGTCAAAAACAGTTCTAATTAATTTTCTTTAATCGACGAAACAGATTACCTTACAATGTTCTCTATGTGCATTAATTGTTTCAATTCTTGATTGGACAGGCTTTCAAAGAATGGTTTGTATGACGATAACTATTGTACTAGAAAGCGGGGATACATATGCGAGAAATTGAGTAAGTAATAATAATAGTTTATACTTACTTAAGTAGATTGTGATCTATCATTGTTTATACTTGTCAAACGTGTATCTTGGAGGTACACTGGGTATGTTATTCACACTGGACTGTCACGTGTGATTGGATATGAACCGGGAGGGGTTCAATACTTGCAGATGAAGAGGGCCTTTTGCTGCATTTATTATATTCCTGGCAATGTGGAATATTCTGTTTTCTCTAATTACACAGAGTGCGGGTTGTCATACCACGAGTGTAGTATATATAGTATTGAACCAGACATGATTGTCAATAACTAATTATACGTTCTTATTGTTTTCTATTTTTACAAATCCACAGTTCGTCATGATTGCGGGGATGACTGCGGCTGCAATGGATCATGTTTTGCGTAGCGCATTTCTTTAATCTATACTTCGAGGAATCGCCGACAAGGCATTATGACGTCAGTTTTCTCGTCAATTATTCGTACTTTTCAGTCTTATTCGTCGCTTATATTATCACGCACGCTACTATGTCACAATATTATTAAAATTATCATAAAACATTAAACTCAAAAGTTGTAAGTTGTATCTGTTTGTTGAAAATATACCACCTTACTGACTTGAATCATCAACTGATTTGTGGAGTGTGCATATTTCGTGGATGTTTTATTGGAATGCACTGCACGCATACGTGCAAAATATGGCCCTTTCGATGTAACGTGTGGAATATGATGTAATCATGTGTAAGTGGGAATGGAATTGTAGTGGAAATAACATTATTATCAAGATTTTATTCACATTCATATTCTGCGAGTTTTTGTTATCATTTTAAGAACACATTACAATACAATGATTCCATAAAACTGTTACATGTTTCGAAAAGAGTTAGTGCATTATTAGATCATATGTCACCCTCGTACATCAATCTAATAATGATAAAATATTTCCTGCTAGAGATCTAAAGCCATCGAACATGTGACATTGTGTCATTCGGGATCCATAGTAGGAATGTCAAAGTAGCATATACAGAAAACACTGGCATTTCTATATGATACAACAAAACAACAGAGCAAATAAGTCTTCTGGTATAGCAAATACAGTGTTTGCCAACTCATAGAGATTTCGCGACAATAAACGAGCGATTAATATGCAGAAACACAATACGTGATCAATTTACCGAGAGAAAAAAAATACATGAACCTGCTGAATCGTAAATCGTTGTTCATATTCGCATGCTTCATATGCTGGGTATAGTGTTGCTGTAGAACTGGTTGACAATTAATTACCTTACACTTGAATCATCTCTGTTGTCATACAATCTAGCGGGAATATTATTATGAGTCAAATTCGAGATAACTACCGAATTTATGAAGCAGAAGAAGCCGATTCGTCTACGTAGATCAAGGTTGAAATCGCACCAAGTCCGATCGAAATCAACAAATAAATATTCAAATCATTGAATACAATATATACCCCAAGACGCAATTTCCCTTGCAAAGTATTCGAGCTTATGGCCTGATCTAGGGAGGCACAGAGACCCACAACTAGTGGGGCGTTCCCCGGCAACTATCTACCTTAGTGATAAAAAGGCATAGAGTGTGGAGTGTTCCCATAGATAAGGTCATAAATAAAGTTAGAAAGTACGAATCGGTGAAATTAAAGATGTCAAAGATTTAGTGTTGTTTGAAAATGGGTGCAGAGGGCGCGGTGAAATCAGAGAATGTTAGAATTCTGGCGATCATTTCCTTAGTTGTTACTTTTCAAATGTCAACAATATGTATGTACCCAGATTTCTAAAGAGTATGCGAGGTGAGGCTGAATCAGTGTATTATAAAGATGTAAGAGAGTGTTCCTGGGAACAAAGCGCCACAACCTTAGCAAAATACGTAATGTATTTCGTCTATGTGATTAGTTCAAGTAAGATGTTTATCAATTTTAACTCCAACAAATGTAACCGATTTAGCCTCGTTCACATGAATATAGTTGATGGAGAATCAGCCTTCTACGTCTAACGATTTACGACGCCCTTTGATTATCATGTAGTTAGTTTTGGAACGATTTATCGTTAAGCATTTGGCATCACACCAACATGATACGTCGTTCAAATGATTATTTTGTTCATGCTTTGGTAACGTATTATCATTATATGTAGGAAGGTAGTTGATAAGTCTAGTTTGTCACGATCTTATAATATATACATTCTTCAAAACGTTTCAGTTTGCCATCGAAAACTAAACAGCTTTGTTGACCAGAAGACAGGTATGTTAATAATAACAGTAATTTTAGTGGTGGATAAGATTCTAGATTATACCTTGAAAGTATTAGTTTTGGCAACTACTATTGAAATTAGTTTAAATTGGGCGGTGCTATCTGTGTAAATGTAAATGCGTAAACAAATAAAAAAGCCAGAGTCCATATTTTTATTACCACACCAGTTGGTCCTGCCAAGATGCTTACCACTACAAATAGTCGTCGTTATAGTGTATAACAGTGTGATCAAAACGTAGGAATTGAACATCTATCCATAAACTAACTGACTTGTTTTTATTATTGAGCCAAACTGGTTTCAATAATGAAAACACTTCAGTCTCACAATGATGATATTATACTATGATATCTTTACTGGTTTAAATTTTAAATTTTGTTAATTCAGCTGGTTTGATTATGTGTGCACGTTTTTTCTGTGGAAATGAATTATTCATTGACATAACAATTCCATATTGCTTGAAAGTACTGTTTACATTGTATTCAACAATTTGTGTAAGTAACACCACGGGACAGAAGGATATTGTATGAACGTAACCCAAAACACCTTTCCGGTATCCCACGGTGTTACCTACTTATTCACTGGTTGCATCATTCTAATTTTAAGTCTACATCAACAAATATTTTAATATTTGCCATCACTATGTACAATGACCACTCACCTGCCATGACCACATATGAGTTATGACTTAGATTAACATTCTCAAAAATAACAATTCTGTCGGGCCATCTGCTTTTAAGTTAAACAATTGTGACTTATTGGCTGTAATATAAATTACGCGCGTTTGGTTCCTTTGTGTATTATTGAATTACGGTATAAGTGTTTAGTGCTTATAACACCATTAGTAAACGAACATAAATGTTGTAAAAAGGGAAACACTATACTCATTAGGAAAGTCAGATTGATGAAGGCGTGTTCATATGGCACTCCCATATGTATCATATGATGAACCTTAGAAGAAAGAAACCACATGCTAGTAATTTATATTACGGACAAAAAATGTTAACTGTTCGACCTGATTAGTGTAGGCACTAAAGACGATTCCGTCATGAACTAAATATACAAAATTGAAATTAATAGTGCGATACAGTTTTTTGGATAGAGTAAAACATTGATAATAATGACAAGGTATACCTGTGGTATAAGCTTCATTCCGCTTTCAACATACACATGATATATGTACAATTGATAGATCGTTCTCTAATAATAGCGCGCTATTGAAAAACACATTTAATTGTATAATGATCTTTGTCATAGATCGTTTTATTCAGAAATAAATTAGTTTAAAGCGTGCATACATTTTGATTAAATGAAGTGAATTTTGGCGATGTCAAATTTAATCAACACAAATAAATAATGTTGTTATGTTCCTTATTGTTAAAATATTACATAATTGTTATGGTTATGGTTGAACTCTCAGGCAATATCGAAGTAATTGTAAAATATTGCTTTTCTATATTGCACGATATATGTCGCACTATTTAGACAGAGCGTAGACCTTTAAGAAGAACGAGCCATAACGCATTTATAACATTGGCCATGTACTCTATTTGTACCTTTCACTTACGTGAATAACTTTGACTAGACTGAAACTAGCAATTGTGATATTAAATGGGCTATTGTGTAAACCAAAATCCACTTTGGGAGTGGCTCAATATACGTATAAATTCTTCATTTCTTCAGATCTTGATACTTACATTTAATTATCTGAATTATACCTACAAGAAAGAAATGATCTACTCATTCAAACTAGTACTATGCGAGTAGGATTTTGAATTGAGAATCTCATTTGCATATTGTCAACCACACTATATACTATTTTAGATCTCAGCAAGAGTTCTACTGCCTCCGATCTTTCCACGCACTACCCTAAGCGACAAAGTGCGATATAATAACACTATTCAATTCCCGTGAAAAGAAGTACTTTCAATATAATTATATTGATCGTGATATAATCCGTGCCAATTATTAGCACAAATGCTTTTCGCAGGTTCCTGGTAGTTCACTCGATTACTTTCGGCATATGTTTTGTTAAAACATTTCATCCATCAGAAAAAAACTCACGCAATTAAAATGTTAATTCATACATACATTCGTGACAAACAAAATAACGTATAACCATATGCGAGACGTGAAGTTACCAAATAGGGTAGACATCCCCCGGATTTGAAAAAAATACTTAAAATAACAAACAAAAGTAAATGTTCCATTCATTAGATTGAGGCACTGTGTATACTGCGTCATTGTATCAACCAGAAGTAAGTATGCTATTATACATAAACTAGTAGTTTGTTCTAATCCTAATCCTAATCCTAATCTTAATCGTTCTGGTAATTTCAGGTTGTTGTACATTGTTCCTAGTAATTTAATTAACCATTATCACATACCGTAATTTAATTAACCACTACCACATACCGTTTTGTCCTGGTAGACTTTTTAAATGTCGAATATCTTTTTTTCCTCCAGCTACTTCTAGTTGACCGTGTGATAAAGTGTATCCACTCTTGCAAATATGCTAGCTAGTTCTGATTTCCATGTGCCCGGTAGTCGTTAGATTGTAGCGTAACACAACAACTAATCATGATAGTTACACTTACTTTTTGTGGATGTACCCATGCTCTCAAAGAGCAATTTATGTTAGCATTTCACAAACAATGATTTGAATTCACGTTCATATATGTTTTTCTCAGTGCGAACATTACCAAAATAAATAAATAAATAATTATTAATTAATTACTCTGGTAAACTCAGGCGATTGGCACCAGCATATCTGAGCATTTCTTTGTTGTAAAATATAAAATTTGAATATTTTGACAATTATTTTACATTTTTTTCTGATTGTAATAGGGCGATAACAGTCTAAATTGGAATACCGTAATTTAAGTAATTCATTCGTCACCACAATACAGCTGAAAACAAGTGTCTATCCTACCACTTTAATTATTTCGTATCTCTCAGTTGTCTGTTTCTACTAGCAAAACAAACCCGAATAACGCATTTCTCGATGAGCTCTATCAACTAATGATAATTACCAAACTTTGAACAAAAATTACGATATATACAAAATTTACAAACACATTTTGAGGATAACCTTATTTCAGATTGCTATTCCTGGTTATAGACACCCATACATCGTTGTTTCCATAATTCCAGAAACGTTGTAACATCATCCACACATTTGTTGTACCATGCTTCTCCCATACATTGTGAGAACAAGTGCTTTTAGACCTTTGACTAATTAAAACCTTCCTTTTTTTCTATTTATTGAACGAAGTCATTAGGGTCAATACTTCACAATTCTAGGTAGTCTATACGTATGTACCGAAAATTTACAAAGTTCACCTTTAACTGCAAGGTTTGACACATTACGAATAGAGCTCCTGAACTAGACAGTAAATCAAAATTTTAGTTATATTAAACTGCGTCTGTAGTTTTCAAAGAACTATTTTCTATGAATGAATTAAGTCCTCTGCTACACCTGCATATTTAAGATTTGAATTTTACCAACTTTGATAATATCATCACAAATTTCTAACCAGCTTCTGTCCGTTTAACATAAATCTGAGATATACCGAGAAATCGCACGCACATACGGACGCAAGGACGAAATCATAATTGATAAACCCCGTTTTCGAATTTGTCTCAAACTGGTACTAAAATGCACTTCTTAAAAACGTCAAGTACATGTATGCATAACCATGGATACAGGCAGTTACAAATGTCTGAATAATTTGTGCTGATCACTCTGTTAATTCCAGGGATATTATAACGGCTGGTCATGGAGTTTAGAAAACTGTTCGTACATATTGCATGGTTAGCTGCTTTCACTGTCACTACGCATTCCAAAGGTGATTTTAAATATATATATACTCTTTATATTTACACAGAAAAAAATCGACGTTGTAGTCCGACGATATCGGTGTTCAACAACAATGTGTGTATCACACATTTACTTGCTTTAAGTTTTTCACCACCAATTCCTTCTTTTCACCACAAAATAGTCCCGTTTATTGTCAGCACTTTCTTTCAGAAGATTCGGACAAAAGTAGTCAAATATTTTGGGTAAAAACTAAAAATTTACTCAAAATTTGTCTGTTGGCTCCACAATTAGGCAAAAAAAATGGTTTTGTTGCCCTCAGCGACCGACCGAAAAATATGAATTGAAATATTAGGCCCAAATATTAAAAACTCACCACTGTAAGCAGAAAAAAGTGTTTCCTCTAAAAATTAAGGATTCCGGACTGTTGTTTGATTCCCAGAGTCCCCGTAAGTGGCGGCTTTGATCCTCGGGTTGATCTGTATTTCTCTGACATGTTCCGAATACTAGAAGTGTATATACCTTGGCTATTTACGATACTCTTAGTTTTCACGAATTTAAAAAAAAAATCCGACCGACCGACCTAATTTTTCAATTTTTCGACTTGAGGGCAACATAAGTTTTTTTTTTTGGCCTTAGGGTTCATCTCCAGAAATATTGAAGAATAGAAGGAAAAAATTGGATGAGAAAGTCTGGTGGTGAAAAGGTTAAACGCTAAGATTGTGTGTTTTAATAATTTAAAGCGAAGGAGTCGTCACCTGCGCACACGCGGGAATCGAGTTCCAAACGTTGGTAACAACACACGCTAGAAACGCAAAGGTTCATGGGTAGACGCTTGTTTGTAAACAATGACACGCTATGGCCATCTGACGCATGCACAGGTGACGACTCCCCCGCTTTAAACATTAGACTCCGACAATGTATGTTATGTTTACAGATGGTGGGGATGTGAGGTACACGTGTTTTGGGTGGGAGTACAAAGTTTTCTGTGGATCACTAAATTGGGACGATGCGCGACAGGCGTGTCGGGATGCCGGCTTCGATGATTTAGCCGCGATACGGTCGTCTACA